CCCCCTTATTTTTGGTTACTACTTTAATTTGGACCTTCCTGAAATAGTGCAGAAAGTGGTCTAAAATTTTCATCTAGACCAGTCAGTCAGCCTACCTTAGTTTTGGGAAAAAGAATGCTCTGTGCTGGGAGATGAGAAATTGCACACCCTAAAAGATAGGAATTATTTTGGTGAAGTTCTCTGGCCTGTTACACAGGAGGTCAGAATAGATAACAGTGGTCCCTTCTGGCCTTGGAATCTATGAATGTATATTGAAAGGACCAAACAATTCAAACGGTCTCCCTGTCTGTTTATAGCCATAGCCAGACATTTTAAAAGTCAAGCCATCTCTTCACAGAGAACATTGAAATGGATAACAGCGTATCTCGCTGTGTTAGCTGGCTGGTGAGCCTCTCACTCCACCAGGACACAAGCAGTGTCCTCCATCTGCTTCAAGAATGTGCCGGTATCAAATCTGTAAGGTGGCAACTCACTGACCTTTGTTAAACACCATGCCTTGGACTTGGCTGCCAGGTGAGCAGTACTTCAATCGCTGTTCAACTGATTCAGCTTGAACTCCTCATTCCCACTGTCCTCAGGAGATGTTGCTTGCAGGTGTCCCACAATGGGGTCAACACTAACACCGAAAGGATTATTACTTACCCTGCAGTAACTGTGGTCCTTCGAGATGATATAGTCAATGTGGATCCCACTGCCTTCTCTCCCTTCCCACTCTTAGAAATCCTCAGTTATACTGGCCTTTTTTATTGCAAAGAAACTGGAGGAAGGTTGCCTGTGCTCCATCTTTTATGCCCTTGGATGGGCGCATGAGGCAGCCCAGGGTGATGCACTGCCCCAACGGATACGCTCGGCCAAAAAGAGAGAAGAATCCTCTTGTGCACAGGAGGCCCATGTGCTCCTATAGCGAAATCCACTCGGACTCTGATGTCTTGAAGTGTTACAGTTACTGTAGAATAAGTAAGTGTTCTTTTCCCACCCTGCTGTGGGCTGGCTGCCAAAAGGGTATTTGCAATGTTGTTGTAGTGTTGGTCTCTGGATAGGAGAGACAAAGTAGATGAGGTAGTATCTTTTATTGGACCATCTTCTCTTGGTGAAAGAGACGAGCTTTTGAGCTTCACAGAGCTCTTCTTCAGGTCTGGAGAAAGTAACCAGTGTCCAAGCTACAAGGTGGGTCGGATTGTTAAGCATAAGCATCATTGAGGCATGACAGTGGCTGTCTCCCTACTCATTCAAAGCTATCTGGCTACACAACTGTCCATACATGTGGAAGAGCCTGTTTATGTAAACGACTGTCCAGATCACTGCAGTCAGTAGGGCTTCCTCAATGCTGCGTAGAAATGATGCTGGCTTGCGGAAAACAGATGAATTATGGGAGTTTTAGTTTGACCCAAGCCACAGACTTCTGGTTGGCATTTCACACTGCATCGAGAAAAATCATAGAATATGTAGAATCCAGTGGAAGAACACTGCACCATGGGATATGTGCCCAGAATGCTGTGTGGGTATTTTAAAAAAAAAAAACGCAGAGCTTTGTGCATGCAATGATTCACAAGGGAAGTAACTTAAGACAGCATAAATAAAGCTGTGTAGAAGCACTCTTTTGCTGTAGTTATAACGGGAAAATACACTGAAAAACCTTTCCCTGGTAGACAAGGCCTTAACTGCTTTGCTGATAAAACACTCAATGCTCTGCTGTAGGCTTCTTATTGTTCTGTCACACCCATGCTGCGCTCCCCTCTGTCCAGGAAAGAGCTACTTAAGAGCCTGTGCAGAGTTGCTGAGCACCAGAGGTCACAAGGTTAATGAAAACAAGGGCTTGCAATCCTATTTCCTACAGCAAAGCTAAACAAAATGGCTAATGAGGGTGACCTTCAGCATGTTGACAAATGAGACCTCCAGCGAGGCACACGTCTGTGAATTAATTTTTGTCTGTCTTTATGAGAAGTGGATGTGATAAATAGCTTATTTCCTTTCAAGGTAGTCAGCAGACATGCTTCCACTGATAATGATGTCAAAGTTTTTCACTCTCTTTTGATAATGCTATTTGCTGTAGCATATCATGTCATTCCACGCTGCCAGTCTCCACTTCTGAAAAATTTCAAACCCATGGCGTTGCTACTTACAGATTACCTTGTGAAAATAATTGTACTATCTTTGAATACAAAGCATGGACATTAATGTTCATAAACTGCTTTGTCCTGCTGGTTTGTTGGCGGCAGCAGCAGCCTTGATATAACCCCTCCTAATTCTTACATGATGTAAAGTGGAATTTGTCAGCAGTACATGTTTGTTCATTATTTTAAGTGCCTTTTCCCCCCAGCTTTACCGCTGACTTAGATGCAGAGAATAAATTGCACAATCCCAGGCTGTGGATGCATTTCACAATTAATATAAAACAGTTTCTGTAACACATTAGCCCAGGGATCTTGCCAGGCTTATAAATCATGCAAAGAAAAACAAACTACCCACAATATTTTCCAAACTCCGAGTGTTTCCCAAACCTTGCTTTTGCCCCCTTCTCCTGAGTTAACCAGCCTGTCTTTCCACCTCTTACACCAAGACCAGAGGTTCTCAACCTGCGGACCTGGGCTGCTTGCTGCCCAATCAGCACACAGCAGCGGCCCATGTGACATCCTCAGGGCCATACAGATAATATTGGATGCAGTCCACATAACACATTGTGGGATGCATATGGTTGAGAACCACTGTCCTAGACCCTCTTGGGGAGGTATGAACTGAGTCTTGCAGGATCTCCTTGAAGGTCACTGTATCCAGGCTCTCCCAAATAAAGGAAGTAAGTGAAGCCTAGAACAATGGACACCTTACCAAGAACACCGTGCTGCCAGCCCCCTCCTACTTATGCTAAAGGACTGTTCATTTGAGCACCTTATGGTCCCAACTGTTGCAGTATCTGTGTCCACCAACCTGGAAGCAGTAGGCAGAGAGATTTGTCAATCATCCACTTTATATAAAGGTACTACTCCACCCCCTTACTATCAGTCTTTGCCTCTTCACTCCTGTTTCTTTTCAGTTTTAGCTTCCTCTCTAGCCCATCTGGAGAAAGATCAGAAGTTGGTGAGGCTTGGGAGTGAGAAGGAGTTTTCTGAAGTAAACTAGGGGTGAAGGAGGGGAATAATTTGCTGGAGGGTTTCCAAATCCTTGCCCAACTTCTACAGTGCCCTCAGCTCTCATCCCAGGTCCTTCCTAGTTCAAGTCTGGCAGTAATTATGGCAGCAACTTCCTGCTGCGTTGGGGTGCATTGAGTCTTTAGGTGCCCCATCTTTCCTGGGTTAGCTTAATGCTCGGGAGCATTTATGTTTGAAGTTCTATCTTCTTTGTGGCACCTTGAAACTCTTTGATGTGTATCGGCTACATTATCTAACCAGATTCCTCAATAGCAAAGCCTGTATAATAATCACAGCAGTTTTAAAATATTACCTAGATATTTCCACAATAAAACTAATCCTGTTATGTAAAAGGGAAAAAATGGATGCCTCAAGTGTGTGCAGAAAATTCTGGGACTTAATAGTTCAATTGACCCACAAATCCCCTACAGCCACATACAGTAGACAAAATCTGGGGGTAAATAGGGTTAAATTAGTCATTGATGTTTCTAACCTTATATAAACACTTACTCCAGTAACAAAGGCACCTTGAATGAAAGTAAACGGACCATACCTTGTAAATAGTTACCTGTCAGAGTAACAAAAAAAATAGCTTATCCCCTTAACCCTTATATAATGCAAATGTTAACAAGTTTCCTTCTTTCTAAAAACTCTTCAATTTTAAATATTAATACACACATTTCATATATGCATGGGTATGTGTACTGTCTTTTCTCTTAACTAAATACGTCTTATCTTTGCAATAAACTATTGACCGAGTGATAAATTCAATTTTATAGTTGCCATCATGAGCATTTGCTGTTTAATGTCTTTTTGATCTCTATTTGATCCAAACTCCAAATGTTCCCCAACCATGCTTTTGCGCCCTTCTCCTCAGTTAGTCTGCTTGTCTTCCCATCTCTTACTGCTAGACCAGTGGTTCTCAACAGTGTTTAACACCTTATTTCTTCAGAGTTTAAGTGGATTTTGTACTTCATTTGTATATGTTTAAATGACTTGAGAGTAGAAAAACTGAGCCCAGTGAAAAATAACAAAGTACAACAATCTGCTTCTAGGATTCTGATAAATAGGGCAATAAGTAGATGGACTTCTATGCACCAAGCTGTTCAGAATACTTAGGAGTGCCCTCATGCAAAGGAATGGCATTCCATGTAGGAGTGACCCAGCCATCTCACTCCTAACACACGTGACCTAGACAATTACACAGGCACACTAATGAACTCGGCTGACTTTATGCAAATTGCACTTACCTTCTATTTCAAAGCAAGATACTCCTTCTACCTCATCCTTGGGGCATGAGGACGACAATGCTTTTAATCATTTCTCATATTGTAGTACTTAATTCTTAATTATCACAGGAAATTATATATAAATTCCTGAAGTGGGACCAGATCCTCATATTTTACTGAGGTGTTTAACTTGTTATTCACTCCACTGAGTGCCATCGGAGCTATGCAACTGTTAAGGATAAAGGGATTTTTCACTGGTAAACAAACAGATTTTGTACAACTGTTCTCTTGTGTTGAACTATAACTCTTTATCCTGCTATTTCCTTAACGAATTGAACATTTCTGACTGCTGAGCTACAAGGTAGCAGGAAGCGTCTGTTTCGATAAATAATCATTTAGTTTACTCTGTCAGCAAATACTACAAGGTACAAGATTAAATATTTCATAGCAGTCCAATATCTGGGACTCTGCTTTCATTTGTTAACTGCTTGTTCTGCACTTTTATTTGCAGTCAGGCTTTCATCTGCATTACAAAGAAGTTCTCTATCTTCAAGCTTTTTTTTAAGCTTTCCACTTTTTTTATTTTTAGATGCAAATAACCAAAATACCTTTATTTATAAAAAGTTTCTCTTTGTTTTCTTTACAGAATATTCTCTTTTCTGGATGTGGTCACTCTGTGTCGTTGTGCTCAGGTTTCCAGGGTAAGAATCTTTATGTATCAGTTAAAATCTATCAGCACTATTCTTCTTCTTCTTCTGACTCTGACATTTCCAGATTGCCCTCTTTATCTCAGATTGGGAAGAACATGCCAGCAAACTCTGTTCAAAGAATGTCTCAGCTATTTATACATATTCCTCTTTCTCCATAGTTAATCTAGTGATGCCAGGAGTTTCTGGTATTTCCCACAGCAGTGAGTGGGTTTGAATGTCTAGCTATATCCCTTTGGTGGCAGCTAAGGACCTATTGAAGAAGAAAAGTCAGCTACATCAATACTTTAAAAAACATGTTTTCTGAACAGTTTTTAGATGGGGTACAGAAGGGCTGCTTTAAACAGGGGAAAATGTTCAATTCACGTTAGCTGAATGATGTTTTTAAATGAGTTGTGCTAATATCTGGGCTTTGAATGCAGATGTACCATGTTCATGAATTAAACTTTAACACAACAAAGAGAACCCAATGAACAGTTATCCTTCTGCTCCAATGTAGCTGATGGAAATATAGATGGAAGGAGACTGGAGTATTTCATTCAGTGTTTAAGTAGTAAAGTAGTTCGTAACTTCATGCAACTCAGCAAACATAGTTCAACTCGAGACTCCTTGAGGGAAAATGGGTGTGAAACTTCCACTAACTCGAATGCCAATTCAACCGGAGCTACTAGACTTGTTTTATGGACTCTTGTCCAGAATTTCTGCTTTTTATCTTGCTATCATCTAATAAGACACATCTTGTTCACAGAAAAATTACCGTAATGAATCATCTAGTTCTAAATGCTTATATAAAAATCCTTGTCTGTGGAGTCACTAGTATATTGGAATTACCTTATTGGCCGATCCCAGTATCCACTGACTCTGTAGGAGAAAGCTGAATAGTTTTGGGTCCACTTGATGATACGCTGTCCATGGACTTGCTTTTCTTAATGGTAGCCCTCAATAATACAAAAATGATATTATAAATTGCTTTTATTTGCAATTGAAGACACCACCCAGCCCCTAGACACGATGGTCATAATCATGTGTTTGGATCCTACTAGATTTTTATACTAAGGATGACTTCATTTTCTCAAAGGAGCAACTCTGGCTATTAACTGGCTCACATAGGCTTCCAAAGGCATTTACCCATCTTATCTATTATTCCCATTTTGTCACACCCTTGCCTTTTCACTGGGCACCTGTGAACACATTGGAGCTCAGAAAGACAGATGACATGCAGCCTTCTTTTAATGTGAAAATATTGCTCAGTCTAGCCTGTACACAAATGTATAGTACTCTCACTGGATCACACATTACAACGTGCATTGTCTGACTCTGTACCATGAATTAAGTCCACTGGCACATTTCTTTTCCACTTCATATTTTCCTGGTTTTGGGGGGAGTAATTAAATGAGAAACAGGACATAAAAGCAATATCACAATTGAGATTTTTAAATGCACAGAAATCAGACAACTCCACTAATACCATTATGGTTCCATCAGCTACTGTAAACTCTACCTCCTTGTGCATGCAATATGCAGTATTTCATCATACTGTAATGGTAACTTCAGTGCATGACTTGTGTGATTGGGTATTATGAATAGAATGAAGGAAGAGTTACAGGTGTTGTGAGAACGTAACTTTATATTTTATGACTTATGTATTTAAAACTGCAATCATATCATTACTTTAATGTACCTTTTTGCATTTAATAAACACAAGCTACAGGCCTCCAATTACTTGTTCTCACTCACAGGATAAGTAATACATATTTTTAAAAGCCTGTCAGTTTCTTCTCTTGAAAAAATCACTTTTTAAAGTGAACAAAAGCGGTCGCGGTGCTACAGAAATGTTTTGCAAAGTGCATTTTATTAATGAGGTGAAACTTTAACAATGGATTCTTCTTTGGAGGACTCTGTGTATTCCCGCTTGTGGAATATGGCATCTCTGCCATAGAGCTGTGGAACTGCTTTATAAAACCTTGTCCCCAGGGGAAATGGGAGAGATCTCATGCAAAGTCACACTTGCCCTACTCTACGGGCATGCCCCCCCCTCCTCCCTGCACCTGCCTCAGTTCCTGTGCAGCCTAGTGTAAACAGAACTTACTTTGTGGCCTTGGTCTAGCTTATTTTTCTTGTGGTTAGAGTAGCATAGGATAGTTTAGCTTACACATCTTGTCCTTGTAACCTTGGGCCCCTCACCTGGGCCATATTAGGACACCGACCCTCATAAGGGCTTCAAGAAATGCACTTGGTAGTCATACTAGAGCCTGACTCCTGAGGCCAGTGCCTTCTCTGTCTGCGTGAGACTCTCTGGTAACCCAGTGTGCAATTTGCCATGCCATCATCACTCCTTGCACTAGAAGAGAGAAGCTTCGAGCTGTGGACTCATCTGGCTTCTCTATGCCTACACCGGATACTCTGGGCTTATTGAGGGTACTGAAACCAGTCTCTACGCCAAAGACCTCTGCAGAGGACCCAAGACTCATTTTGCTGCTCCGGCCTTGGCACCACCTTTTATATCCGTCTCAAGGTCTACATCTCCTCAGCCCCATTGCCCAGCACCACCAATGCCAGCTAAATCAAAAGTGGCACTGAGACCAAACCTACAGTGTGTATTAAGGCCTTCATAGCCATGGTGAATTCACAGGAAGTGCTTGTCTTGGCATATCATGCTTATTTGGTACAGTTACCCTCAGCCCTGACTCCAGACCTATCTTCTAGCAATGATGCCTCTTTCTCAGCATTGCAAGTCCATGCAGAAACCATCAGGGTAAAAGTAAGGAGAAGAGGAAATGCACTCCTGTGAAAATCATGACTGGCATGACTCTAGGGATGGGGGTGTGTGTGTGTGTGTGTGTGTAAGTAAGAAGAGCAAGGAGATAATAGGAAGCTTTAGGGCTTCAGCAAGGTTGCAATGTCATCCTCACCCCCTTTCTGCTCCCATAACCCCAGTTTGTGGAGAAATACTGAGAAGTGATGAAGTTTTGGAACTTGGGAGACACTAACTTGACATATCAAATAGCTTTATAGTGGAAGAACCTTTTATGAAAGTGGATTGGACTTACTAAGGAGAAATGCCCAAAACTCCCTGAAATTTCTTAATTCTTTTTTCTGAGAAGTTTAATTTTTAGTGTTGATTGAATCTTTTCACTTAATGGCCTGTAGGAAATTAGTCTCTCCCCACAGTGCATACTCTCAGTCCTTTCAAAGCAGGAAGGTGCTTCTCTTGGCAGTGATAGTTTGTTCCAAATATGATGGAGTTTTTCCATCATTCTGAGGTAATCTTTGAGATGCAGAGACTTCCAATACAGGTTCCCAACTACATCTACCTGCACTGACCTTATCATGGAAATCTGGTCTCAAAATATTATAGATGTGGCAAATAGTATAAGGAAGCTAACCGTCAATATATTAATTATAAACTCTCCCTGTTTCCCCTTCTTTCCCTCCCTAGCTATTGAAACCTGCTTAGTCCCAGCCATCTTTACACTTACTAATTTATATTGCAGTATCACCCAAGAGCCCTAGTTGGGTTCAGGGTCCTATTGTGCTATACATGGTAAAAACACATTACACAAAGATGCTTTTTGTGCTGAAGAGCTTTCAGTCAAAGTATAAGATTAGATAACAGGCAGATGCAACAAATGAAAGTGGGGAGCACAAGATAACAATGAGAGAGTTATGAACAGCATGAGGAGCAGTGGGGTCACACACATCAAACCTTTGCACTGTAGGTACTGGGCACATTTATATAGTCGTCCTCCTCCCCCCCCCCCCCCCCCCGCTTCCAATAAGGGTCCTCTTAGCATATAGAATGCACCTAGGTTTTTAGGAGTCCTCCCCATGGAGATATAGTTAACAATTTGAACCTTAAATATATAGTCTCTGTGTGTTAAAGTCCATTGTTCTTTGAGTGGCCTCTGCATATTCCCACTTGTAGGATCAAGGCACCTGTGCCACAAGCTTCCAGAAAGCAGTGTCCATTGAGGCCACTCGTCTCATGCCCCCATCCTAATGAGTTCTGGGAGTATGAAAGGGGGAGTGGCCCCAACTACCCCTCAGTCCCTTTCTAAATGCCAAAGATGCAGCAAGCTCAGATCGCACGGTGTCCTCGACACTTTTCCTGTCAGTGTTTTTCTTTTTTCTCTTTCTACCTTTTTGAGGCAAATTTTGTTTGTACTGAGTTATCCTTTAGCTAGGTTTTTCTTTTAAAAGACATGAGGAAATGCCTGTTGAGCATGGGCTTTGTCAGGACACAGGAGCAGATTGGGCCTGCTCACAGTGGGGAGGTTCCTCCAGTCAGCTAAGCTGACACTGAATAAGTTCGCAGTCAGCTTCAATGATTGTCTTGCAGGAATGGGTTTGGCTGTCTCTCGCACCCATGCACATGGGAGGCATCTCAGGCTGGTCACTATAAAAGTCTCTGCGTCTGTCCAGGTTGACCTGGATACCTAGCTATGTGCCGAAATTGGCTCTCTGGCTGTTGGATTCAATTTCCAATGGATCTGGATCCGTAGAGCTCAGGTCCAGCAGCCTAGTGTGGATCTAGGCCTGCAAAACCAAGATCTGGTGGCTTAGCATGTATCCAGAGCTGTAAAATCTTGATCCAGATCTGGTGGCCTACTATGGATCTGGGAGCTGCAAAACCTGAATTCAAACAGAGCACAGATCTAGAATTACCCCCACCCACCCTGGGAAAAAAAAAGCCATGTTTGGCTTTGGATCCAGATGGAGGTAGGGCCAGAACTTGAATCCAGATGGAGCAGTCACACATGAAGGACTGCTGAGCACAGTTGCCGAGAAGGGGTCTGATTACCTGGGATCTAGCCAGCATGGGGAGCTGACATCTGTTACTGCTGAGTCACTTGTCTAAGAATTCTGTACCACTGAGGCCCCAGATCTGCCCAGGTCATTGGACTCTGGTGTTACACCACCACAATCCTTGCAGAACTGCTTGCCTGACTGATTCTGTGCCCAACATAGTGGCAAAAGCAAGCAGATCAGTTTGGAGGCCCTCACAAACTAGAAAGGGGAAATGCATTGCAAGCTTCTAATCAGGTCTGGAATGGGGGGGTCTCTGTTACAGCATAGTATTTTCACATTGTGCTTCCTGTTCAGTCGTCTTCAGATGCACTTGTTGGATGCGCTGCTTACCTGGGTGAAGGTTTTCCCCTCTCAATGCTCCATCTGTCAGACCCTTGCCCTGGAGGTGAGAAAAGGAGGATTGGTCTGTTCTTAAACTTTTTTACTATGAGACGTTGTATAAGCCAATTTACTTAGTTGTGGAATTGTCAGTTCCCCTTGGTTCTGGGTAGGGACTGTTGAGGTTCTCTTGGGCTCCCAGCCCATTCCTAAAGGCCGGTTCAGCTTTCCAAGAACTTAGAGAATTTACAAGAATCTGACAGGCTAAGAACTGATGCCAGGCTCAGAGGCTCCCTTAGGTTGTGAGGGTGCTATACCCATCACAGTTCTATCGATTCTGAGATTCACGGATCCAGAGATTTCTTTGCAACACAGCCTGTATACGAGGAACAGGATGCAGTGTCCCAGGATCCATCTGAGGCTCCGGAAAGGATGGCCTATTGACTGAGTCACTTTGCAACCCGTGAATTCAAAGGCAAAAAAAGAGATACTTGTTTTAAAAGGCGCATTGCCAAGGGTCAGCAAATAAGATGCAGAGCACTGTAGGTCCTATTTTACATTAAGAGCTTTTTGTGAGGGATTGTGATATTTCTTGAAGCTGACATCATAATATTTGGTTGGATCCATGTGTCTGAGCTCTTATAGGAGGAAATTCTGTTAGAACATTATTGGGCTCTGGGCTACCTACCTTCAGTTCTAAGCCAGAAAGGAGACTTTTCAGGTCTGCTTCCGTTCCACCATGGAGTACGCAGCGTGTAGGATTGGGTAGTGTCCTTTTTTTAGCCCCTTGTATGGGTTCTAGAAACACATAGGGGTGCCCATCCTTAGCATTACCAAGCTTTCCTTGGAAGAAATAGACTTGGAGTCTAATGAAGCAGTTGACTCAGCACTTTTGGAATTCTCAGTAAACATAGCTTTGATTCCTCTCATCTTGGAAGGAAAAGCTGCACATAAGGGTTGAGACTTCCATCACCTACACTTAGTGGTGTGTGAGATTTGTTTCCTGGCCACAATGTGAAAGAGACTTGACACCTATTGTATAATGTGGACAATAGGACTGTGTCGCACGGGGCAAAATGCTGTCTGGCTGTGCTAACTCCCTAAGATTCATCGTGTTCACCTCTGGGTTCCAGAAACAGAACTCTCCTATTTTCTGAAGGGTACTAGTAATAGCACCCTTCTGTGCCATAGTCCTGTATCTGTCCCTTTACACATAGCTTTGACTAGAGTAAAAGAATACCTCTCTCAGTAAAAATGTGCCCTATCATTTGGCCATGCTCTGGCAGAAAGTGTTCCATTAAACGCCTGGCTGTCATGACTACTCGCTGTGAATGGTTGGGTATCTGTCTGTGTGTAGACAACAGTCTAAGATGTCGTCTGAGATTTCCACCTCTTTCAGACTGCTAGAATGTCTTTGTTCTGGGCCTCCTTTACCTGCCTCCCTGAATGTATCCTACATCTGCATATTCAGAGGAACTTGTTATTGTATCAGGCCACAGCTTATCTACATGTTTCCCAGTCCCTTGGAGAAAAAGAACTGACAGTCTAGGAGCCAGTCTGTCATGGTCCAAAGGTTGCTCATCTGTTTCACAATTATGACTTCACAGGGCTTCATCTTCCTGGAATTATCACTCCTCATCCTGGACAAAGGGAGTGTCCTTGGCATGCCGTCGCTGTGTCTTCATGGCATCATGTTGCATTACTGATACTGGAACTATACATGCGTTTAGCAAAAATGTTCCCTCATTTAGACTTGTTTTGGGGGAGCAAGATTGGTTGCTTCTCCTGCCCTGGCATCCAGAGCTGATGCTTGTTTGGCAGTTCTGCATTCCTTGTTTACCTACAACTCCGCAGCCTCCTTTCCTGGGGGTTGTACTGCTTGCTAAACTCCCACAAGTGGGACTATGCAGAGGCCACTTGAAGAAGAAATGAAGGTTGCTTATCTGTAACCAGAGATCTTCAAGATGAGCCTCTACATAGTCTCACTACCTGCCCACCTTCGAGTCTCAGGTTAGGAATTCCTGAATTAGTGGTGGTGGTGGAGGGACAGGAGGTTAGGGCCACTCCCCCTTTCAAATCCTTGGAACCCTGGAGCGGGGGAGAAAGATGAGTGGCCCCAATGGAGGCTGCTTTCCAAAAGGTTCTGGAAGTTTGCAGTGCAGGTACCTTGATCCCACAAATGTGAATATGCAGAGGCTCATCTTGAAATACTCTGGTTACAGGTAAGTAACTTAGCTGGCTGAAAACAATGTATGCTCTACAAATAGTCTCAGTTGCTAAAGTTTGATTCCTGATCTAAAAATAAGACAGAACCTCAAAAAAAAGAAGCATCTGATTTTAAATGTGCAGAGGTGAGGAAAGGCTAAGTTAAGGTTCCATCTTTGACCTACCTCCTTGTTATTGGACATTGTAGCATGTATGATGTATAGCATCTGTTCTGGGGCCTATTTAATACCTATGTGAATTAGGGACAGACTCTCTCCCTTCATTCTGAGTATTCTTGTTTTTCACATTTTAAGCTGGCTCTGTAATAATCCCTTTTAGCTTTTTTTTTGTGGTTAAATAGCACAAAATTGGTGCCAAGCAAAAATTCTAAACGCCGTCCATTGTACACTGATTGGATTTGTTTATATCCATGCTCCAGGTCACTTCAGAAATCACAGATATACATATGTGAGACTCTTAGTGACTTGTAACTTTCATGCTGGAGCTCACATGAGCAAACTATCTTTGCTTGTGACTCTTCAGCATTCTTCTTTGCTGCTGTTGCTAGTATGTGGAGACTGGTGTTTGTTTCCTTTTTCACATCCCCCACTTCACCTTCTGCTTGATGCTACAGTGATGTCATCCAGTGTGTGTGACCCTTGGTCAGTTTCTCGGGATTCAGCTGTCACAAATCCAGCATTGTGACGTGACTGAAGAATTGAGTAGAAGGAAAGGATGGGAAATCAGGGAACTTGGAGAACTGGTGATTGAACACAGCTTCACTGAGGAAGCAGAAGTTCCAGAAAAAGATATAGTGAGTGAGTGGTCTATTGTTTAAGGCAGAGGGACTAGCTGTCAGGCGGTCCAGGCCTGTTCCTGGCTATGCCACTGACTCAGTGTGACCTTTGTCAAGTCACCTGTGACCTGATATTTTTTAGAGGTGCTGAGTATCTACAGCTTGCACTGCTATCAGTGGAATCAGTGGATGCTCCACGACTCTGAAATCAACCTGCTAGCCTCTGCCTCTTTTCCCCTCTGTGAAATGTAGAACATGATACTCATCTGCCTTGCACGGATATTAAGAGGTTTAATGTTTGTAAAATGCTTTGGGATCCATATGTCACCCCTGTATATGTTCTCCAATTGGAAAGCTCTTTTCTAAAATACAAAATAAAAAGTCCAGTGTGTGGCCCATAAATGGAAATATCGTTTGTGTGCGGATAATCTCAGTGATACCATGGACTTGCCTACCTAAGTGTTCAGTGATATATGAGGAATTAAGAGCGCACTGTGTAGGTGTGGTAAGTCTTATCTGAACTGAGGATATTGCTGACCTAAGGGTTTTTCATCTGTTGCAGTAATTTATTTGGTGCTTTTTCACTTGAGATACAGTGTTGTTTCTAAAAGGAACAAATTGTAACTAGATTCCCACTGGCATTTTTTTTCATATTAATCATGCACTGACATTTTTTTCCCCAATAAAGGCATGGAATGTTCTGGCCCTGGATGGCAGTAACTGGCAGCGAATTGACCTGTTTGATTTCCAGAGGGATATTGAGGTATAATTAAGTGACATACAAACCCATTTTTCTTGTTTAAAAACGTAATTACAGTATGGAATAGATTAAGACCCCCAGCATAACCCTTTCCACCTTCCCTGGAGATAGAAATAATTAATTTCAGTTCTTCTTAGCTTCAGGGAGCCTTTATAGTCTTGGCAATTCATTCAGCTTTTGAAAATGGACAGAACTATTTAACTGTACCAGGAGTGAATGGTATTTGTGTGTGTACATGTACACTTATTTGAAAGAAGCAGTTTTTTGTTTACTGAGAGAGTAGAAATAACTGGAGTAAATATGTGCTTTTGCTGAAAGATATTGCTGGTGGGTATTGGTCTAGATTTTTCTCTCCAACTCAATATAATCAAGTATGGCTTTTATCTAGTATACTTGGACTTACATCATTAAGACACTAAATTTCTCTCTGTCTCTAGTGTCTGTTTTCCTTTGTTGGAAATGGAAACACAAATCTGGAAGATGCCAGAGGTTTCCAGTTCTGAGTTAGTTCTAAAAGATGTACCTCTGTGGGAAGGCCTTCTTGTAACTTTGGATAAATCTGTTAGAAGTGAACTATGGAGTCCATGTAGGAAATGATAACTTTGTGCCTCACGTTGTCATACCATTCTGGAAACTAAAGTCCCTATATGCTTCCTGGCTGAATTTTCAGAAACAAACTAAACTAAAACCCTTATCAGATTGTTACATTCTCATTTTAAAAATTATTTTTTTGGAGATGGGGAGAGGAGAGCAGCATTGTAGATCAACACAAACTGAAAAACATAAGAATGGCTTGTTTGATGTCCTGGTGGAAGCTGCAAGTTACACAGCCTTTGTGGACAGAAGCGTTAAAGTACTCTCTCTGCCAGACATGTCTAAGCATCTCATATAGACGTAAAGGAACTGGCCTCTGATATGGCAAATTGTGTACCCGAAAAATCTGGTCTAAAGGCTCATGGTGTTTGGGAAGTGCCCTGAATGTTTGAAGGAGGGAAGCAAATGTGGTTCTGCTCTCTACAGCAAGTCTTTCTTGAGACATGTGTCTGTTGATTAAGGGAGAAAGTAAAACTAGTAAGAGCATTCCTAAAGTTCTCTGCTGGGATAAGACTTCACTTTAACACAGGTGCAGGGAGGTCATTGGAGTTCCCTGATCCAAGGTAGGAGGAGAAAATAAGGAAAGAACTTTTCAGCCATGGTGCTTTATCTAGACGGTGTAAGAAGGAGAGAGTAATGCTGTGAATTTTAAACTAGGCTTTTCCCTTCTTGAGCAGTTTTACATGGCTTTAAAGTCTCCCCATTCTCTTACTCATCTGTGTACTAAATATGTATTTGTGCACTAGCATTGGCTTATATTTTAATACAAGATGCTCCAAAATGCTGCTGTTCCTTAACCTAAAAAGACATTCTCAAGCTGTCTAAGTCCTAAATGTTGTATGCTTTAAGAAAGATAAACTTGCAGCTTTTACGTTTTCTTTAAAATATATTTGAATCCTCTGCAATCCCAAACATATTCACAGCTATGGTGAGGCCACTGAGGGCCTATACAAACATATGCGTGGTTTAAAATTCTGTAACCTTCCTTTTCTAAGGGTATGTCTACACTACCCACCGGATCGGCGGGCAGCAATCGATCCAGCAGAGGTCGATTTATTGCGTCTAGCCTAGACGCAATAAATTGACCCCCAAGCGCTCTCCCGTCGACTCCTGTACTCCACCGCTGCGAGAGGCGCAGGCGGAGTTGACGGGGGAGCAGCAGCAGTCCACTCACCGCGTGAAGACACCACTGTAAGTCAATCTAAGTACATCGACTTCAGCTACGTTATTCAAGTGGCTGAAGTTGCATAACTTAGATTCTCTCCCCCTTCCCCCCAATGTAGACCAGGCCTCTAATCAGCATGGGATTTACCTTCCTTTATCCCTTTCAGCCATTGCAACACTTTGGCAGCACATCCTAGCTGCAGTTGGCATTCCAAGAGTAGTGTATTTCAGAGAGTAGGTTTTAAGGAAGGTAAATGAGGGGGTTCAGCAGATTGATAGCCCTTTTAGAGCTTGCTAATACTTTGCAGCTACCCTACTGCGCACATAAATTTTTGGTTTGGGAGGGAGGGATTAAAAATTTCTTAATACAAAATCTTAGCAGTTAACACTTGAACGTGATTGACGTTTCCATTCTCCAATGATCAGAGGAGGAGAATAAAATATTACTGGACACTGAAACTTTTGTGCTGATAGAGTTGTATAGTCTTTCTCTCCTCTCCTCGGTCTCTTTACCATTTCATCATCTAAAGTTGTGGAAAATTCAAATTTGTCCTGGGGTCTCTGGGGAGATATTCTCCTTCTCTCTCTCTCTCGCTCTCATATGTAAAATATGACATTAAACTGCATTTCTCCAGATGTCTTTGAGAGGAAAATTGAAATGCTTCCTCCGTGAGAGAAGAGAACTCCCCTACACTATTCATCTCCACTCTGTCACCCAAAACAAAAATCTTGACATCTTTCATGACCGCACATGCCTATTGGAAATCCTTGTCACGTGTTGTTTCTGTGATTTGTTGTATTTCTTCAGTAATGATACTTCAGCCATCCTTGGGTAACCTCTTGCACGGCCTAGGAGCTCTGACTGTTGAGGATTTTTCTACTGCTTAGCCTCGGCTTTCTTCCTTTGGTTTTGGGTAATTGTTCCTTGTCCATTTTTAGAAGTTGAATCGGTCTCCTTCAGTTTTATATTGGTACCTTGATGGTAATTTGTGTTTGCTCAGGGCCTTTATGCCTGGAATAATATACAGACTGTTTTTAATCTACAAAGTTGTAAATTTAACTTTAAAGAAGAGACTGTGGCAAATAAGAAGTGATATCAGTGGAATTCTTTTCCTGTCTTTTTACAGGGGCGAGTAGTGGAGAATATTTCTAAAAGATGTGGGGGTTTCTTGCGAAAGCTAAGCCTGCGTGGGTGTCTAGGCGTGGGAGACAACGCATTAAGGTAGTGGTATGGCTTCTTCTACTCTTAACTGTGAAGCAAAGAATAGTTCTCCTTCCCCCCCATAGAGGACTGGAATGGTGCATTCACTCCTGAACATGCTAGAGTGAGACCAATAACAATATGCATCCAAAAATAATTGCTTAAGTAAGTGATGAACAATATGCGTATCATTCTTTGTGTGTTTGAAATATGAGCCTTTCTCCCTAGCCCTTCCTAAAAAATAGCAGCATAGAGTCAAATGATGGTATTGCAATATTGGGGGAATTGGCACTAGAAACCTGAACCTCTGTCCCTTGCTCTCGGGCTGAAAGAACTCCAAAGACAAGATATGGGTAACAGCTCATCGTTGCTCTGCGTTGCCCTCTGAGCCCAGCATTCAGTAGCCTGTTTGATTCGATGTCCTTGAGAGATGCTCACCTGTAAAAGGCTGGTGGGGAGGATCAACAGTTAGCCCAAGATAAACAGTACCTGTTTTTTTGTTTAATTATTTCTGTAGTATTAGGGTAAAGCATCTGGAAACACATTGTCTGAAAAGTAGTGCGTTTTTTATCTTTTTTTCTAACGAAGGACATTTGCACAGAATTGCAGAAATATTGAAGTATTGAACCTAAATGGCTGCACCAAGATCACAGATACGTAAGTAACATGTTTATTAGGGGGAATGTTGGAATATTAACCTTTGTAATTATTAACATACACGAATTCTGTCTCAACTGAATGGAAGGCAGTGGTTCCAAATTCTCCTCTGTTGTCCCACCCAATTATCTTAGTACCGTTTGTTTTCTAAATGTGGTATGAGTAAGTGGTCTACTTCCAGATGAATGACTTGTTATGGTCTGATAAAAATTTGAAGACATCAGGAAACCTCTTACATCGAGTGGCTCACTTGTTATTTCAAGGCAGATGATCATATTAGGTTGTTGACATTAAGGGGAAAATATAGCTGAGGAAATAATTCTTTAGGCAGGTATGACTCATGTTTTCAGATGCAGAAAAGGCTGCTAAAGTGTCCACTTCAGAACAGTAAGGCTCACTGTAATGGAACAAAAAAGCCTTGTTCTCCCAGGTCAGAATTTATGGAGACTGCAATTTCTCTGCACATTGAGCAGCTGCAGTTGCTTAGTTTATGGTTCTTGTGCTCATCTGCCACCTCTTGTATACTTCGAGTTCCGATTCTCCTTTGAGTGATTCTGTCAAATTACAATGTGTACAGTTTTTTTTCCCCCTTTTTCATGCTGATGGTAGGGGGTAGCTTCACTCTGAGGCTTTGGTCTTCTCATTTCTGTGATGAAAGGAGAAGGTCTCAGAGGGAACCTGAGTATGAAGAGGACTGCCTGTCTTGGTGGAAAGGGATCTCTCTCTTTGAAGCTTTTGCTGAGGGGGGGGGGGGGGAGGAAGTTCCCCACATATCCTTACCTATGCTAGCCCTGACCAGGGAGAAGTTACGGGGGGTGTATGTCTTTGCAAAGGAACCTTCCTAAAAGAGTTGGCAAGAGTTAACCCTCCTGTACTTAAATGCTAACTTTCTTTAATAAATGCTATGAGTATGGATGGACGTAATTTGGTTAATATCCAGGGACCACAGATGTCGTCATCAGTAAAATGTGTCTCAGTTGTGGTGACTCACGTCAAGCCGTGCTTCCACATTGCCGAGCACAGACTGTTAAGAGCTAGGGGAGTTCTGCTTTTCCATCAACTCCACATAGATTTGAGATTTTTCCCATGGACAGCTGGTCATCTATGCTTTAGTTTGCACCGGGATTGCCTTGAAATAGGCATGTATCAAAGTTTTATCTAGTTTCTCTGCCACTTTGCTGTTTTCCTGCTTAAGTGCTTTTTGTAACTCCTTAAAATAACATCACTTACAAAATTGTAAGATTCTTATGTTTCCTACAGTAGCAGTACATGAGGGAATGAGATCAGAAAGAACCATGTTACATGTATGCTCTTTCTGCATTGATTACCTATAGATTCTTCATCTAAAAGTATAGATCAGTCTCAGAATGAAAGTGTGATGGCCTAAAATACTCTTCTTAGACGAATAGTGGTGAAATCCGCTAAATCAGTTTGTGTCCTTGGACAAATAAGATCTGCCAACTGAAGGAACCCTTAAAAAGAAGATTTTTTAGGTATTTTTCTGATACAAGTAGCAACTATTGTTAAGAAATAGCCTCACTTCATGTTGTTGAATTTTTGTTGTCTGTTAACGTCTAAGCATCAGTGTTACAATAGCTTTTAAAAACAATTCATATTTCTGGGGGCAGACAATGCAGCCTAGTCATTGTTCATATCTCATGTGGCCTTCCACTGGAGATAACACATCCTGCAAAAACTAACAATAGCCAGCAAAGATGTGTAGGGATGAGTTATTAATTAGCAGGTGGAAGTACTTCTTTTCGTATTGCTAGTCATTTTATTTTATAACCTTAATATAGTCCTGTGACTCAAAACCATAGTTCATCTTTATTTTCCAGGCCAGAATGCTCCGCGTCTTGCGGGATCAGACTCTCTACCTCTGCACTTCTGCCAGCCCATTGGAGCTAGATAGCTGGGTTGGCGATGGCATCTGGGTTTCTCAGCTGGCCTCCAGACTGGCCTCACTACAATGATTATTTTTTTAAGGGGTATTGCTGGCTGTCACTCGCAGTATATTTCAGGCACTTGTGGGTCTTTCTACACTGTACTAGTTGAATAATCATTTTGAAGGCTTTGATAAAAGAAGCCGCTGGTTTTCCCCAGTACATAGTTGCCTACAGTTGGCACTTGCTGCACAAAATCATAGTTTGTTGCTATTCCCTCAGAAACGAATCCTTAGGCAGGTGAAATCACTGCCGTTGGTGTCGGGGAGTTTGAAGTCCCAGCTAAACAGCAAGCCCCTCAGATGTGCTCCATCTACTCTAGACTGCTACCAGCACTCGGCTCCTGTTGCTAGTGTGTAGTATGTGCCCTTAGTCATGTGATGCTTGGTACTTTTCCTTGCTCATTTTCAGAGGTTTCTCAGTACTATCAAAACAGCCTTGAGCAGCAAGCTGGGAAAATAGGGTAGGGGGTACAGATCTAAGAGTTATTTTGGCCCCTTTGGTAGCAGATGTTAGAAATATCCTATAGAACGGTCTTCAGCATTGGGTTTTGAGCAAATTAATCCCTGAATGAAAGCTGAATGATTCAAAATTTGAAGAAAATCGCTATCCTCTTCACATACGTATAGACTGCTTAGAGCATTTCCTCTATCCTCTCTCCCACCAGTCCACCTCCAATACCTGCTCCATGTAGTATTCTCCATCCTTTTATTTTTTAAGTCGGGGCTTATGTGAATATACTTGTGCACATAGCGTGTGATGGAAAAATATACATTATCATTTCTGTGTACGTCTTTGATGGATAAATGTGTTGTCTGTCTGAAGTATTTTTTTATATATATATATTCTCTTTCAGGACATGTACCAGCCTTAGTAAGTTCTGCTCTAAACTCAGGCATCTTGATTTGGCTTCCTGCACTTCCATAACCAACCTGTCTCTAAAAGCACTGAGGTAGGAACTGACAGCATTGAGATCCTGTGCACCAGTTTAATTCAAAATAGCTTGCTCCACCATGTCCCCTATTCTCTGAACTCCCCTCCTGGAGTTTGAAATGAGTGAATAGGTTACTAGGATTGCAGTCCAAACCTAATACGTGAATGCTGAGCTCTGCTGGGTAATGCCTCCTGGTCTGCAAACAGACAGGAATTAACTAGAAGATGCCTTGTCCTGATAATGATTAGCAGCAGTAGCATAATTGGATTGCACTGAGGTTTCGATGTTTGTTTATTTTTTGAGCAGGGGGCAGAGTGTTTTTAGTTTTTAATTAACATGCCTTGTAAATACCTTTTTGTTAATAGTTGACTTTTGAATTACACAACTCCCATTGCATAGATAGCAAGTGTCCTGTAGTTGCAAAATAAAGACTGGCACATGATTACTTGTCTTAAACTGATTAGGTGACATGGTAACTACTTAACCCTACTAAATGTAATTGCCAAGTAATCTAGAAATGGAAGGGAATGACAGGCAATGGTGACAAGAGATTGGGACACAAAAAAGGAGGCAAAAGAGACCCCTGAAGATGAAGGTTGGGAGCGAAGCCTAAATTATTAAAAAAACAAAACAAAAAAAACTTGAGTAAAGTGGGTTTTAAATAATGACAAATTCATATATCTAAAAAGGATAAAAATATAGAAAGGCTAATCTGAAGGAAAACAAAATAGCGAAGAGGCTGCATTGAGATATCAAAGGAATCAGAGTACAGGAATGGGGAGAGGTTTGGTTTTGTAGCTAGCTTTCAGAAATTGGAGCCTGGTTTTTTAAATTTTTTTTATTTTTAAAAAGGGGCTTCAATCTGGCCTCCAATTTTATAGGGTCAGTTTTGTATCTGCAGTTATTTGCAATCACAGTTGATAGGTAGACAGACATGTAAATGCTGACTGCAAATCGAATGTGTACATTCTGTTTGGGCAAGCAATTATTTTCAAGCACAACTTTGTGTCTGGAAAATCAGAGGCCATGTTTCAGAAATGAAGCCCTTTTGATTCTGATTTAATGTTGGTTTGGCTGTATCTAGGCCTCTCAACCAATAACACTGTGAATAAGCCCAGTCTCTGAACAAGGGAGTGGGACGCAGCCCTATGGCCGACTCTGGATGCAGTAGATCAACCCTCTTTTTTCAGAGTGCCACAATTATTGAATTACTGGTTTCCGAGCCTACCACTGGAGAGCGGCTCTCCTCTGGGGATCTTTGTTTAATAAATGAATGTTCCATGTGGGTGTGGGGTGTGCATGTTGCTTCCTGTGCTCAGTTGAAGTCCAGAAATTGGAATTTCCTGTAATCTGGCTTGAAGCTTGATTTCTTATGTTTCCACCCACTTTTCCTTTTACCTCCCAAGTGAGGGATGCCCACTGCTGGAACAGCTGAATATCTCCTGGTGCGACCAAGTGACTAAGGACGGCATCCAGGCTCTGGTGAGAGGCTGTGGAGGACTCAAAGCCCTGTTTCTGAAGGGCTGCACCCAGGTATGACTATGGAGACCATTCGCATTACACTAACTACAACGAGTGCCTTTATGCATTCAACGCCAGTTACAGCAATGAGTGTGAAGTATTGTAGGGCTTGTATTTCCAAACGTTACCTTATTGAAATAACTATTCAAGATCTACCAACTAGACATTAAGTGCTTTATTGAAACTCTCTTTACTAGCTTTGAGCCCAGCATGAGGAGCTGAACACTGAATAATGAAAACTATCTAGTAGTGGAATCTCCTTTCAGAGGATGTAGTAAGCAAAATGACACTCACATTAACCTTTTTTTTAATAATATATAAAATATCCTGGCTATGTCCTTAGACTTATTTTAATCCTTTTTAAAAGGGTCAGACAGTAGTAGAAAGCCTGGCTATAGTCGCATCTGGAATCACATGATAAAAGTTCCTGACTGAGTGGAATCTTCCAGCTGGCTGATGTAGAATTGGACTGTAATTGTTTTGTTTCAAAGGTTTTCCTACAGCAAATTAAACACTTAGTACCATCCTTTCAGAGATGTGCCATGTTCAGCAGTGGTACGGTCCAGTACGCTGTACCAGCAAGGTATTTATAGCCGGTACAGCGTACCGGAAAGAGGAGCAGCAGAACGGGGGGCCGCTCGGCCGCTCCCACACATGCAGCCATACCGCCCCCAGCCCTTGAACGAAGGACCTGCCAGCATTCTGCTCCTTTCGCCACTGCGGTTCCCGGGAGAGCCCTGGAGTTCAGGGCTCTCCCAGGAACTGCAGAGGGGAAAGAAGCAGAATGTGGGGCAACCGGGTGGCTGTGGGACTGCCCCCAAACACTCCCCCCCCCCCCCCCCCCCCCAGCCCTGTCATCCGGCGGAGCTGGCTGCTGTACAGATGGAGGAGACCCTGCGTGGGAAGGCTGGGGTGGTACAGGTCCTGGGTGCTTGTTTCTGAAGGCGCAGCGGGAGGAGGACAGAGTTCATGGGGAGGGGACAGGGAGAGCGTGGGGGCCCCAGGTTGGGGGTGAGGCGAAGTCACATGGAAGGTCATGTGCCCCCTCCTTCCCCGCCCCCCCACCCCCCGTACTAGGAAGAAATGGATTCCACTTGTACTACTGGCCTTGTTGCTCTTTGGACTGTGTCTAGGCCAAGATGTAATAGGTTCTGAAGATACTACATGGATGGATCTTCAACCCTGACACTTTAGAATAAAAATTGTGCATTAGCTTTTAAGGCTGAAATTTCCATTACCTTTTGTTGTTTGGAGTTCATTTTCTTTAACCTTCCTGTTTTACATGCTGGGCCATGAAAGTACCCACGCTTCAAACTAGAATGAAATTTGCGTAACTCTTTTCATATTCTAGGTATTTAAGAACTTAATATGTTAAATATGGATAGTACTGTGACTTTATTTAGGCAGATGTTACAGTTGCAATAGCTGATATCTACCTTGAGTATTAGAATCTCTTTTAGTGAGAGAGGGGTTCGTACCCAGGTTACAGGTCCTAATGCTTGCTAGCCAGAAACAAGCCAAGGGACCCCATTTTAGTGTCCTCCAAAAGATGACTATGCTTCAGACAGTGTAGTACCTTCTCTAGTACTCTTGGTTGTAGTGTTGGATAGGAACCAAGTTCCGACGTAGGACTGGAAAGTATGATTCGTTGTGCAGACAGACGTGCTCCTGGCTAAGTCAGAATGACACTGTAGAACCTGATACAATATTTCATCCCAAGAACATAAGAATCCCAAAGTGTTCGTAAGTATAGGAATTACTTCAGCTACCAATTCTGGGCTGAGAGAATTGTAGTTTGGCAGAAAACTGGCACCCCGCTTGCTGAAGAACAGTGAAGGCAAGAGAAATTTTGCCCAAGAACATGAGAACAAATCCCCTTACTCCTTATTTTTTTTAAAAAAAATAAGAAGTAGCCATGGGATCTTCAATGCACATGCAGATCAGGCAGGAAAGACTGAAAGAGCAACATGCAGTAAACTACATAGAACTCAGCGTTTCTGTCTTGGGAATGTGAAGTGCTGAGTTGTCCCTGCTGTATTTCCAACCTGTGGTTCCAGGAAATCTACATAATTAAAACCTAAGGATTAAATTTGTAAGCCATCTTCTTGGATGTACTTGGTTTGCTTTTGCCCAAATCTTGAAATTGTGATGTGGGAGGTTTGGGGTGTTGGTTTTAGTTCTTTGTTTCTCTGAAACGGAATTAGTATTTTACCTGCTGTTGACATGTAAACTTCAATAACATTTACTTTCCAAAAGATTAGTCCCACTGTACATGGGTGTAGAAAGCGATAAATTTTTCGTATGTTAAGCAAAGCAATAGTACATATATCACTCTGCAAAACAAGCCCAAATATTAGGACCATTGCCAGTAGTTTCCTAAGCTTATGTTACTGTTGTTTTTAATATCCTAGGAGACATATACATGACTGGTAAGAGGTTTAACAATCTAAGCCTATTTTCAGAATTCAGATCACTGAAAAACAGCTCGAACTTCTGGTTATTTGTGGACTTTAGTGAAATATTGATGGGAATACATCCTTGTTATCAATTATTTGCCATCTGTTCTCAGGGATGTAAGGCTGGCAATGGCTTTCTGTTAGCAGCTAAAGTGGTATAGAGGAAGGAAAATGGTGATATAGAGGAGGCCTATGAAGCATTAATTTATTAGAAACAAAATTTATCAAAATTAAAAGATAGTAATTTCAGTTCCTATTCTGTTTGTTAATCATGTATTTTTGACCTGAGCATAATTTATTGAAATCAGTAAATTAGGGCTTTTGATTAATCGCAGTATTAATCGCACTGCCAAACAATAGAATATCAATTGAAATTTATTAAGTATTTTTGAATGTTTTTCAAAACATTTCAATTACAATACAGAATGCAAAGTGTACAGTGCTCATTTGATATTTATTTTTGATTACAAATAGTTGCACTGTAAAAATGATAAAAGAAATAGTATTCACCTAAGTACTGTAGTGCAATCTCTTTATCATGAAAGTGCAACTTACAAATGTAGATTTTTTGTTGTTACATAACTGCACTCAAAAACAGAACAGTGTAAAACTTCAGCTCCTACAAGTCCACTCAGTCCTCCTTCTTTTTCAGCCAATTTCTCAGACAAGTTTGTTTACATTTACAGGAGATAATGCTGCCCACTTCTTGTTTACAGTGTCACCTGAAAGTGAGAACAAGCCTTCACATGGCACTTTTGTAGCTGGCATTGGAAGGTATTTACATGCCAGATATGCTAAACATTTGTATGCCCCTTTATGCTTTGCCCACTGTTCCAGAGGACATGCTTCCATGCTGATGATGCTCGTTAAAAAAATGTGTTGATTAAATTTGTGATTGAGCTCCATGGGGGAGAACTGTATGTCTCCTGTTCTGTTTTACCGGTATTCTGCCGTATATTTCATGTTATAGCCGTCTCGGATGATGACCCAGAACACTTTGCTCATTTTAACAACCCTTTCACTGCAGATTTTTTTATTTTTTTGAGAAAATGCAAAGAAGATACCAATGTGAGATTTCTAAAGATAGCTACAGCACTCAACCCAAAATTTAAGAATCTGAAGTGTCTTCTAAAATCTGAGAGGGATGAGGTGTGGAGCATGCTTTCAGAGCAACACTCCCATGCAGAAACTACAAAACCCAAACCACCAAAAAGGAAAATCAACCTTCTGCTCATGGCATCTCTCTCAGATGATGAAAATGAACATATGTCCGTCCGCACTGTTTTGGATTGTTATCGAGCAGAACCCGTCATCAGCTTGGATGCATGTTCTCTGGAATGATGGTTGAAGCATGAAGGGACATATGACTCTTTAGCGCATCTGGCACGTAAATATCTTGCATAGCCGGCTATAACAGTGCCATGCAAACGCCTGTTCTCACTTTCAGGTGACATTGTAAACAAGAAGCCAGCAGCATTATCTCCTGCATTTGTAAACAGCCTTGTTTGTCTGAGCTATTGGCTTAACAAGACGTAGGACTGAGTGGACTTGCAGGCTCTAAAGTTTTACATTGTTCTGTTTTTGAGTGCAGTTATGTAACAACAACAAAAATCTACATTTGTAAGTTGCACTTTCATGATAAAGAGAATTGAAATACTATTTCTTTTGTTTTTTACAGTGCAACTATTTGTAATCAAAAATAAATATCAAATGAGCCCTGTACACTTTGTATTCTGTGTTGTAACTGAAATCAATATATTTGAAAATGTAGAAAACATCCAAAAATATTTAAATGGTATTCTATTATTGTTGAACAGCGTGATTAATCACGCAATTAATCACAATTTTTGTTATCGTTTGACAGCCCTACAATAAACTAACCTTGCAAATCTGTAGACTCTCAATCTCAGAGACAGCGGAAGATAGACTGTATAATGCCTGCTTATTGCCATTATACACATTTTGAGAACTGAGTGGCTTTTCCCCCCCTGCAGTGACAATTCAGAGAGTGATAACTCATATTTTCATGTAGAGACCACTTTGAATGTAACACATTGTTTCAGTCTGTACATTTTTCTTTCTAGCTTGAGGATGAAGCTCTCAAATACATTGGCGCACACTGTCCTGAACTAGTGACTTTAAACCTGCAAACCTGCTTAGTAAGTAATCTTTCCTGTGATTCCTATATTACATGCAATGTAGCTATAAAGGGCATCACTAAACAGGATTGAATAAGACTTACTCCACCCTTGAACATCGTCATTTTCCCAGACTGGAAAATTGTACTTTGGCAAGTTCTAAAAATAAATGTATAAAAATATTTTTTTGGCTTTTTTTCTTGTGGTAGCATTTGGTAGAGTCATACACGCCTCCAAAATAGCCTTGTTAGCTTCCGTTTTGTCTCTTTGCCCTTCCCATGGGGCTTCTAAGCACGTTTGCAGGGATAGCTGGAAAAATGCTTTCCTTTGGGCTGGAATGTAAGTTTGTTTGCATCCAAACTTTTACAGTAGCCTTTAAAACTGAATCAAGCAGCATATTTGCCCTCTAAAAAAAGACACTGAACCAACCATTAACAGTGCCAAAAATGTACTTTTAAGCCAAAAAAGGAACTGGGAGGGGTTCTTTGTGTATATCATCCAGCTCTTCTGACATGGCAGCATTAAGACTGTCCCCAAAGTTGGAAGGGGCTTGGAGATTTGTAGATCTGTGCCTCACTCAATAGTGTGTTTTAAGGAGGAGTGGTTACACTCTGAAGGGAGATGTATACATGATTGGCATGGGGATGGTGTCAACAATAACTTTTCACTGTTGACATTGGGTACCTGGGATCTGGAAGATGCAACTTTTAGAAGGAGGTGAAAGGAAAACTAAGTAAGGTTCTCACTCACCTTTAATTTAACCCTTTATAGAGGGGTTCTCCCTCCCCCCCCCACAAGCTTTTTTTCTCACTTCAGCAGTTGGTCCAAAAGAGCTACTGCCAGTTGCCAAGCTGGTGCTTTCCACAAGGGAAATCGACTCTAGCCAGGTCACAAAATCCAGTGAGGCCCAGGTTGTTCCTGTGTCTTTATACTGACTCATCTCATCTCCTTTCTTTATCTACTCCCACTGTATACCTTGGTCTTGCCATCATACTCTGTCCTCTAGCTGGCAGGGCTAAACTGAGCTCCAGAACTTTGTTAATGTTGCTACTGTCAACCAGCATGTCGCTCTCCTGACAGATTCTGCCTCAAATGTTGCCATCCCAAACTGGTTCCTGGATTTAGACCGAGGTCCAAATGTATCCCTGGCCAAAGGGGATGCAGCTCCATTGAACTCAGTGAAGTTACACAGGTGCTGAATTTGACAAGGATTCAGACCTGTTTCTTGGCATTTATCTCTTGGGCACCAAGGCAGTAGATTGAGTTTTAAAAAGTTGTTTGTAAAACTAAATTGTGGGGATGTTGTGACCTCTAACAGACTTTCCTAATTAATCTTTCAGCCAGAATTACTTTGTCGGCATTGCTGAGGAAGTTGAGAGTGCTGTGGTGTTAGGCAGCAGATTCTGTAGTGCCATCCCCTAAAATATTTGCATGCCTGTGGAATCAGCTGCAGACTATTTATAAGCCATATCAGAGTGCCTTGTGCTGTTTCAGCTATCACGTAAAAATATTTGAACACATTTCTTGGCTGATAAGCATAACTTTTCCTTCATCACTCTAAGCTGAATACCTCCTTGCTTGTCTCAAAACGTAGAATTGGGCAATGCATTGGATCTCAGTCATCGCTACTAATGGTTCTGATGTTTTGTTTTTTCTTGTAGCAAATCACAGATGATGGTCTCATAACAATATGCAGAGGATGCCATAAATTACAATCCTTGTGTGCCTCAGGCTGCTCTAACATTACAGATGCCATCTTGAATGCCCTGGGACAAAACTGCCCACGGCTTAGGTGAGTTTTCAGTCTGGACTCACACAGTGCAGATTGAGTAAAGATGCGGGTGACCTGGTAATGGAACTCCTTGAATTTTTTATTCTAAAGATCAGGACTTCTAGTCCAATCTGGAAGTCCACTTGTTTACCGTGAAGTTATTTCCAGCTGTCCAGCGAGAAGATGACAATGAGTTAGTTACGTCCTAACTTCTGATTCCACAGAATATAATTCTACAAGATATCTTGGTGCAGCAGTGTTCTGTGCCACTCTGATGAGCTTATATAGAATTAGTGACCATTTCCTTTTTCAGTCAGTGTATTACCTTATTTTTGATTAAAACAACTGAAATTAGTCCACAGCTTTTTTGTGTTAAGAACTGGAAACGAGGTTTAAACTGCGTTATTCCCTGCCTCAATACCTAGTTATTAATGCGTGTTGAGGATAGTTTTGGAGCAGGTGAAGCAAAAGATAGTGGCGTTTTTTGTTAATTTTCACTATTTCAGACAGAGAATGGGCTTAAGGTGCCATCTCTTTAAAGATTTTACAGCATAATTAGGAAAATGACATGGTAGAGAAAAGAAAAGAATAGTATTATCTGGCATCTGTTACAGCTGTGTGCCCTGCTAAAATAAGTGGCATCCAGAATAGAAATGGAATTTCTACAATAAACTCAAAAATAAAGTAAAAGATTATGGCTACATGTTTCAGTTTTCATAGATATGCGGTTCTAACTTTGAAAGAGGAAGATAAAGATGCTGTGATTCCAATTGGATCCCATATTTATGTTCAACTCTGCCTGCAGATCAACTGCATAAAATGCCATGCTACTCTGAAATAAACCAAAGTGTCTCTCCCATTTAAGGGAGGTCCTGATCTTAAATTTTTAGAAATGGAAATAATGCTCTCCCCTGCAGCATTATAGCATTGAGGAGTAAAACTTGAGGGAAAAGGGGGAGGCACCATGAAACTGCAGTAGCTGAAGCAAAGAATTTTCGGCAGTCATCTGAACTGGGAATGAGCAATTTGCTATCTAGAAAACTTTAAATCAGTATGTTATGGCATTAAGTACTTATTCTTACATGACCTGAGCATCATCATGAAATACTATGCCATGTAATACATTAAATCGTGGTGAGATTATCAAATGGAGTGGAGGGGGACCTCCATTCAAATGTGCTCGAGTATAATACTCCATGGAAATAATCCTCTCAGAGTACTGCCTTGACTTAGTCTCGCCCTGCCCTGCTCCCAATAAAACAGGGCGCTAAAGCAAAATGATTACCGCATGGTTAGTATGTTCTTAATTCTTTCTGTACAGAATATTAGAAGTTGCAAGGTGTTCACAGCTAACGGATGTGGGCTTTACCACTCTGGCTAAGGTAAGTGCTGCATTCCACTTTGTACATGGTGCATCTCTGTTTCCTGAGAGCTCAGCGTAACTTTAGTCGTTTCCCATGAAATTATATTTTCTAAAACATCTCTTTTTGGTTTAAAAGTTGCGTGGAAATGAGAGGGCTAAGTAGATCTCTACATTGTTCGTTGTTCCTTAAATTTTCAACATTGTATTTAGCCACCCAACTTCCAATTGAATGTAATATGCATCTAAAGTCAATGAAATTAACAACAGTTAGCGGGATACAAATCCCTGTACAATTTCATGCATCAGACAGCTCAACCTGTACTCCTTATGAGTAACACTGAGTTAACCCCCTTTTCCTTTCTGTACATTTAAAAAAAAGATAAACAAATTAGTAGATATTTTATAAATGTCTTTAAATGGGCAGGCTTGATAGATATTCAGTATTATGCTTGTTTTTAGTAGCATTGTCCTCCAGGGAGCAACAAACTATCTGTAGTCATGACCAGCTTCGGAAAGAAGACTTTCTTTTCAAACACACTTCATTTGTGTTGAGAAAGGAGGGATCCAATAATTTTACAAGTACTGACTGGGTGTGTCTAATTTGCTTGTGTGCTTTTATTTCCTGCCTGTACTATGTAGAACTGTCATGAGCTTGAAAAAATGGACCTGGAAGAGTGTGTTCAGGTAAGAGCCCAGCTTTCTGACTATGGTGGTTTCATGTAGGAAGTCACAGCAGTGTGGAAACATGGTCTGTGACAAATGTGTCTAGGTTTTAACAACACCTAAATGATCAGAGCACAGAATCCCAAATTCATTTTTTAAAATGAAAACAACTTGTTCCAGAATCCTGATCAAGAAAAGGAGATAAGTTTGGACAAGATGAATTACTTGTATATGTTTGATCACCTCTATTCCAGTTTTCAACAGAGAATTGTATTGAAAGAATATTGAAAATCTTAAAATCTAAAGATCCTGTCAAATCTAGACTGTGTGCTTGTCTACTAAAGACCATGTATAGTTCTGCAAATCTAGGCACCTTTGAAAAACCTGGCAACTGCAAGAACTACAAGCCCCAGGGTGAGATCTTTGCTGCCATTAAATTGAAAGCTCTCTGGTCCATAAACTGATAGAGATCAGTAAAGGTAATCTCCAAATATTAAATGTTACTGCAGCTGAAGTGTTTAACAACTGTGACCTTGTATATGAAGGTGGAGGGAAATAACTAGAAATAAAGATGAGGTGCCCTCCAACCAAAAATCTCCCAAGAAGTCAGTGGGCTATAATTCTTCACCAGCCTTTGAGTCTGTTATCTGACTTCCTTAATAACTCGGTGCCACAGACTCATTCAATGGGGTTTTTTTTAGAATGCCCTTCATATGTGACTGAACACTGTCCTTTAGCAAATATGTCATAAGAGTGAAAAGATTAATGTAAGATTTAAAGGTAAAGTGAAATATTGTGTTAAGTGGGTATGAAATAAGGAAGCCCTTGAAGAGCCTGAATACCATAAGGGCAGAGCAGTTTTCCATTAGAAATGGATAGGAAGACCATGAAGTTAATAGGGTTTCACCTCCTGCAGTGAGAAAACAGACTGGCCCCAACATTCTGCACTAGGGATTTAGGAAGGCCACAGAAAAGGAAATTAAAGTAGTCCAGACAGGAAGTGATTTAAAGCTGTGTCCAGTCTAGCTGCTTTGTACAAAGACAACCTGAAAAGTTGTATTGTGTTGTTTTTTTTTTAAGGGCAAGGGGAGTCGGGGTTGCATGTTTCTTAGATTAGAACTTCATGTCTTGTTTAGCCTAGAAGGATACGTCTACATTGCAGTAAAAAACCTGGGGCACTGAGACTCGGGTCAATTGACTCAGGCTTACGGGGCTAAAAATTGCAATGTAGACGCTCAGGCTTGGGCTGGCCCCCAAGCTCTGAGACCTCCTGAGGGGGAAACGTTCAGAGTCCAGCCCAAGCCCAAACATCCACACTATAATTTTTAGCCCTGCAAGACCCAGTCGGTTGACCCAGGCCAGCTGAGGCTGTGCTTACAGGTCTTTTATTGCAGTGTAGACATACTCTGAGGACTGAAAAAGAGTGAAGTGAGGACACTTCAGGAGCCGGAGACTGAAATCTGAGCAGTTTAGAGCAGAAGGGGTTTTTTAGCAGGCTGTTAATGCCTGTTTAACTTCAGTGATAAATGAACATTTTGGACAACTGTATCTGTAAGTGTTCTGCTCACTCCAGCAAAACCTGGGAAGACCAGACATTCCTTATGTTTCAAATGGGAAGAACAAGAAAACAAGAAAAACTTTAAAAAACCCTTTTAAACTACGCATCGTAAGGAAACAAAAAACGCAGACCCAACTTCTTAAAAATCCTTTCCGATCACCTTCTAAAGAATGAATAGGAACCTTTGGCTGAAATGTGGTCCAGATACAGACCAGTTCTGGAAATGTTCGAGATAGTGATTGCTGTTTCCAATGGGGGAGAAAAATGGTGAATATTTAAGATTCTAACTTGGGGTCAAGTTTTGGTTGGGAAGAAATTGCTGTACAAAGATTTCAGTCTTAAAGGGCTTTGTGTCTCTTCCAGATAACAGACAGTACATTAATCCAGCTTTCCATACACTGTCCGCGGCTTCAGGTGTTGGTAAGTGTTTGGGCAAAAGTTTTTTGTGTTCTCACTTCATAAAATGGGAGCCTCCAGATTTTTCCCAATTGAGGATTGCCTCTGCAATCTGCCAGGCATGTGATGGTTGTATCTAGTTTAATAACATGCAGTAGTCTGCAGCCCCTTTTTGTCTTGAATATGGAACTGTGACCTGTGAGACTAGAATGCACTCCCAGCTAAGTCAGTCCTATGGATATCAAAGTGCACTGTTGTAATTAGCTTTCATGTTCTGTTTCCCTGCCAAAACCCTTCAGATACCTTTCCTTTTCCAGTGGCATTTTATCCTCTCTTCCATTCTGTGAGTTTACAGCTCCATTCTGGTTCCACAGCTCTGATCACACATCGTATGATCCAAAAAGAAATTCTCCCCCATCTCATTACTGCATTGCAGTTGTCTGCTATTTTGAAGGCTGTTTCAGTGATTTCACACGTTGTGGCCTGAAAGCAATAGGGCGTGGTCCGAAAGCAATAGGGCGTGATCCGGGATTAAGTTGAGAGGTTTTACCAACTTCCCCACAGAAATATTATTAATAATAATAATATATATGCATTTGGATTTTTATTTGTTTTTAAAGCAATACTTTTGATCTATGAGTGCGTTAATCTGTTCAGATTTTATATAATTTGGAAAGTAGTTATCTTGGCACATAGTTTAATTGCTTTAGTTACAGCCCTAGATCGTAGAAGTCTATATAATTCATTCAGTGGCTGGGCTATCAGTCTGTCCTGGGAGGGAGAACAGAGATGAGCCCGAGGTTTGGAAGAGCTCAGTTAAAGTCCCTGCTCCACCACAGACTTGTTGTGTGACCTTGAGCAAGTCACTTATCCTCTCTGTGCCTCCATTCTCCATCTGTACAATGCCTCATGCAGGTGCTGTGAAGAGCAATGTATTAAGATTTTGAGGCAGTTCAAATACTGCAGTGATGGGGGCCAGATAAGTACTTGAGATGGAAAGCTGCAACCACCCTCGTTTCCTTTCTTCACACTATGCTTCAGAAGCCGTTGTTGTTGAAAGACAGTTTAATAGCAGTCATCACCTCTGAATCTGAATCTTACTCCATGTGTGAAATGTGCATTATTGCTCTCATACAGGAAGTTTTGACTTGTGGGTTAGCATTTAACAGCCTTGGCTACAGTCCTACAAGGATGTATTCATAGAATAAAGGGCATAAGTGATGGCCCTAAATAAAAAGAACTGGGGTAGGGATGGAGGAGTTCAAATGAGTTCTCTTCACTCATTTGGAGCATGAATGCTTCTGGCCTGTAACCTATTGAATCCAGCTTTGACAAGCCTCCATGTCCTGGAGTAGTCCTTGCAAGTTAGACTTCATATTCAGTGGGAGTGTCTGCTTCAACCTGAGGTGAGGGGACTACAAAGCAAATTTTCTCACTTCTAAACAGCATGTTCCTTCTGTGTGAGGGGAGGGACAGCAGAGGCCACTAGGGAAGGGAGCTCTCACTAAAACAGCTTCCACTCCACCTGCCCTGTGCCTTAAAATGGCAGTTCTATCACTGACGGCATTTTAGATCTGAAGTGTTCAGGCATGCCTGCTGTGCTTCCTTGCACCCTTTGGGCAGGAAATTCCTGTAACTTCGGGTTTTTCTCTGTCTCCACAGTGCTTCGTTGTTTTAGCTGCACAGTTTCTGTCTCTGGAGCACTCACCCAGTGCATTCTCCTCCACAGCGATCTGTGCACCAGCTCTTGTTCCTAGTTCCTCTGCAAACTAAATGATGCATGAACTATGCAGATGCTCAGGGGATGGACTGACATCACTCACAATGGTGGAATGGTGAAGTCTCCCAGCTCCCTGCACAGTTTAGTTTCACATACTAGAATATTTAAAAATAGGGGCAGCCCACAAATGATGGGAAAGTCTGTCCTCCTTATAGTTCCAGTACCTACAGCTCAAAAGAGTATTACCGCTGTGTCTGGGGTACTGTATAATACTGTAGTATTGAAGAGCAGGTAAACTTTATAGTTGTCTTGTCTTTTTTTGACATTACATGGAAGAGCAGCCATCTGTTGGAGGCTCTTCATCTCCCATGATTTCATTCTGGAATGTATTAACAGGCGTGTCGTATGTAAGACAAGGGAGGTAATTTTTTCCACCCTGCTCTGCCCTGGTGAGGGCTCAGCTGTGTGTCCAGTTTTGGGCACCAAACTTTGAGAAAGACATGGACAAATTGGAGAGTCCAGAGGAGGACAACAAAATGATCCGAAGTTTAGAAAAGCTGACCTATGAAGAAAGGCTTAAAAAAAACAACCCCTTGGCATCTTTAGAGATGGGGGACGGGGGGAAGAGAGGAGACACACCTGATAACAGTTTTCAAATACGTTAAGGGCTGTTGTAAAGAGGACAGGAATCAGTTGTTCTCCATGTCTGCTGAAGGAAGAACAAAAAGCAATGGGCTTAACCTGCAGCAAAGGAGATTTAGGTTAGATACTAGGAATAACTTTCTAACTCCAAGGACAGTTAAACACTGGAATAAGTTACCAAAGGAAGTTGTGTAATCTCAATCATGAGAAGCTTTTAAGAATAGGCTGGAAAAACGCATGTCAGGGATGGTCTAGGTATTCTTGGTCCTACCTCAGTGCAGGGAGCTGAGGTCCCTTCCATCCCAGCATTTCTATGATTCTATAACTTGACTGGCTCCCTTCTACATTATATGAACTTCCCCTGTGGTCTACAGATGTCTTGGCTAGTTAGAGAGAGGCACAGGGACTCTGATAACCAGAGTTCACAGCTCACAACCCCCTCCAGTGTCAAGGGACAACTGCAGACTTGCCCAGAACTTTGACATGGCAGATTTGCTGGGGTGTGTTTTGTTCTTCTAGGACTTTATCTCCGTTCATCCTGTCATCTCTCCCGAAAGCGTCCTAGCCTGGTATTCTTGATGGTTGTACAGTAGTGTTTCCAGAGACCACTAACCATCTCTGTTTGGCTGCAGAGTTTGTCACACTGCGAGTTGATCACAGATGATGGGATTCGTCACTTGGGGAATGGCGCCTGTGCACATGACCGACTGGAAGTGATCGAGCTGGACAACTGCCCTTTGATCACAGATGCCTCCTTGGAACACCTGAAGAGTTGCCATAGCCTGGAGAGGATAGAACTTTATGACTGTCAACAGATCACACGGGCAGGAATCAAGAGACTCAGGGTAAAAAAACCAAAAACCTAAGACTTTTACGTACACGTTATTAAATGGCTGGATGGGGAGAGGGTGATTGTGAGGATCCAGACTCACTATAATCTATACCAGGTCCTTAAGATGCCTGAGAGTGCTACAAGGGTAATGCCATCATCTGTGAAAATGATAGCTGTTTCATTCAAGAGAAGGCTGATGACCGTAAGCACTAGCTGGTGGGGAAGGAATGCTCCCTTCCTTCTGTGTAGGATCCGGTTCCAGTTCCAGTTCCAGATGAATAGAACTAAAAAGGAGTACAGGAGAAGCCAGCTTGCTAATGCTTACTTCGCAGATTCACAAACCTGATGTTGCTCCCTCAAAACCTGAGAGTCTCGCCTCACTTCTCAGCAAAGAAATAACTTGAGCCGGTGTTAGATCAACAGCTCATATTAAGTAATCTGATGAAGTATATGACAGAGCACTTCGTATTGATTCTTCCCCATGTGCTAGTAAATAACTCAATCTAATCTCTTGCAATTGGGGAATACACGAAAATAACAACATCTCTTGATGCCTTACCCTTTACAACTTGTTTTTTAACCTACTGGCTAATTCAGATAATTCGGTAATCTACAATGTGTCCCCAAGTCACTATGCAACTTTGCAAAGTTTGACTGTTTATTTCATGATATAATTTAACGTTAATAGCTTGGCATAAGTAAAGAATAGCATCTTAGACCAAAGAAGGGCCAAAAACTATTATTTAAGGCCATCACTGCCTCGCCATAGCTCATCCAATAAGGATTTTTTTGGGTGAGGACATGTGGTTTTGGTGAACTCTGCTGGAGTAGGAGAGGTTTCCAGGCCACCCTCACTAGGCAGGAAAGGGAAATTGTAGATGAGAAAAAGAACTTGGTAACGGTCCAGGAAGATAAAATTCCAGCCCTCCGCTCAGATCTGTAAAAGGCTTGACATTTTTGTGAAAGAGGAAAGATGCTTTTATTTAGGTGGCCAAGCTCAGAAAAATACCAGGCCCCTCAATGTCTCACGCTCTTTTCAGTTGCTCGCCTGTGCATGACTGCGTATTGCACTACCATAGCTGTTCTTTCTTTAAATACTGTGTTTATCTTTTCAGACCCATTTACCCAATATTAAAGTCCATGCCTACTTCGCTCCTGTGACTCCACCTCCATCAGTAGGGGGCAGCAGACAGCGCTTCTGCAGATGTTGCATCATCCTATGACATTGGAATTGGTCATCCTTGCAAACTGAGTATTTAATTACACTTCTAGAATTACAGTGGACACCTGTATCTTCAGCGAAAGTGATCCCAGTGTCATTTGCAAGGGCCAGTGAAAAGGGCTGTGGCACCGGGCCCCTGTAGCCACCCATACACACGCGTGTACACACGCACCACCTGTTCCAGCAACTGATGAACTCTGTGACATGGGAGCTGGATCTGTGTTGTCTTTTGCTGTAGGTGGATTGATATAATTCTGAACCATTCCTACTGGGCATGCTCAGAAGAAACTATTGGGGAAGGGGTTGTGCAAACCCAAAACGGCTGCTGCTGGTTTTTGTCTTTTTTTTTTTTTAAGTGTTGGAATGGCACCAAAATCCTTCAAAGCTGGGGGAGGGAGAGAAATGAACATGCTTTATTCTTGCACCCACTGTCCAAAACAAAAAAGAGGTTTTGTTTTCCGTTCTTCAGTAAGGGAATGAAAACAGCAGCCATTGTGAGACATGATTTACTGTGCTTCGGTACTTCCTTGTTTCCATGCTAACACACTGAGCATGCTCACATTGAAGGTTCATCAGTTTCTTCTGTGTTTCATAGCATTCAGCTCAGAGGCTTCCTAGATTGTTGTGATGATATAGCTTGAAATCTGTAATGTCGGGCTCAGGTTTTTACCCCACCCAACTGCTCATTTTTTTACAGATTTCTAATTTAGTAATTTTTGAGATTATTGAACATAAGTTATTTATCAATAAAAATAAGACACTTTTTACCATTAGAAGGCTGCGTCTGAAACTGCCTGTCTGATGGAAAGATCTTAAATAAAAGAGAGAGTGGAGCTCAGGCTAGGATCTCCTGGGCTTATTTGCCCATTTTTACCAATATTTGGGTCTCAACTCTTTTGCATTTCAAGTTTTACCCCAGCAAAGAGAATATAGCTCACAATATAGGGGACACAGCTACATTCTACAGTCCCACCTCCCCCACCCCCAAAAAATCAGAATTGAATCGCTGCTTGTTGCCCTCATCAAGGAATGATTCATTGTTTGAAGCAGGAGGGACCGAAGACCTGAAAATCTATCACTGATTATGGACACATTGTCGTGTATTGAGTTTGTGAACTCAATTGTTGACGTTTGCATTTTCCACAGGTAAGTGTCTTGTCCTGGAGAAGCATCCATTTGAGTGAAATGGGAGCTTCTTCTATGCCATAAGGGTATACCATGCTTCCAGTTCCTCCCAACTTTCAAAAAGGGTATGTTCTAGCACACTGACATGGTTAATCTGTGTAGCAGCTGTGTTTTGAGTGATTCAGGCAAGCTTAACCCTGCTGCTTCAAGGGAATGTAGAGAACCTGAGCTAGCCTACATGTAATCATTTGATTCCTTGATATCAGGAGTCCAGATTGGCCAGCACAAAAGATGCTAACAGACGCGCTGGCATTGCGGGCTTAATAGGGCTGAACTTGGTCAGACTATAGCAGGTTCCTGGAAGGAGCGATCATGTGTAAGGAATTGCTCTTTTCCTGCTGTCAGCACTCTGGGATAGAAGAGAGAGCACATGTTATGTGAATTGTTCCCGACTGACTGAGACACAGAGGAATGAGCATGCTTAATCATCATAATTGTCCAAGACTGAGGAAACGGCACTCCACCTTTATGGAGAAGAATTACAGGAGACAGGGAAGAAGAGATGGTTTTCTAAAGTACTAGTAATAGATTTCAGAGCTCTGAGGGTTTGTTTTTTTCCCTGCACATTTGTGTGAAGGGCAGTGTGTTACCTACCCAGGGATCTCATCACCACCTGAGTAATTCAGGCAATTAAAAGGGTCATTTTTTAGCACTGTATAAGCTATATTCCTTCATCTACAATTCATTTCACCAATCCATCAGTATGTTTTTGTGAATCTGCAAGATGTTGTGAATCTGCTGGAAAGGCATGTAGAAGAAACCCAGTATGCACTGTTTAAAAGGATACTGACAGTTGTTTCCCGCACAGATTTTAATTTTTATATCTGTTGTATTCATTAAACCCTCTTTAGAAGCTGAGATAATCTTTCCCCTCAACAGCAGAGCTCAAATTCCATTTGCCAAACTTGCTACTTTCCCTTGATTTCAGTGTGTTGGAAGGAGTCTGGCTACGGGTTTACAATGTTGCAACTTATTGACCTCCTGAGCAAGTCAGATGTATGTCACTTTGGGCACCAGAAGCAGTCAGTGTTAGCACAGCTCTGGGAGTAATCTTTTAGTTAATTTCTGGTGGGGCAAGAGGAAAAAAAAACAGTGGGTTTGTAAGTCAAACTACAGAGGGGCTGTTTAATTTCTTGGCAATGGATTGTTGGGCTGGGGGCGGAATTTAAGAATTTAGAATCCAAAGTGTTTTCTTAAACAGGGTAACAGTTTGTGTGGCATCCCAAACTACTTGACAGAGTCCATTTATGTCAAGAATCTCTTTTAAATGGTCTCTTCCTTATGTTTTGTATTTATAAATACAATAAACAACCACTTTCCAAGTTTTGTCGTATCAGAAGAATGCCTTTGTAGGGCAAGAACTTCAACAGTTTAGTGTTTTGGACAAGCTCTGGCTTTTGGAATTCTAGAATAGGTCCCAGGTGCATTCCTGCTTTGTCTTGGTTAGCCATCAATCAGATATATGGGATTGCTAGGCACCGGCGGCAGGGTTATGTCTCAGCCTAAGTGCTGCTGATGCGGAGGTGGTAATAGACTTGAGCACCATTGTTTGACCTGATGAATACAGGAGGTATCACGTATTGAGATGAAGGGATCATCCTTTAGGGATGTGGAGGTTTTTGAGGGGGAAGTGGTGGGAAGTAGTGGAACTTCTTAGAGGTTCAGCAAGGAACAAACCCGTGCTGAATATCTAATCTGATTTGAAGACTTCTACTTGTGCCAAATATGTGAGCTAAATTGAAGGACACTAGACTTCTTTCACTTAGTGTCATCTCCAGCGACTGTCAGTGCTGGTCTTAAAGATGTATCAGGCCATTGACCGTTGCATTTACTTATTGGCTCCCTCTTTACCCACCCACCAAAAATCCCCACACGCAGCCTAAATTGCTGGGGTGATTCCATGGAAATCCACGTGATCCACAATGATAGTGGTGTAGGTTGAACCATGTATTAATTCCTCTGTGTAACCTGTATCTGTCTTTTCAACATGCAGCAGCCGTGAGTTGTCCATGGGCTGGTGCAGTGGTTGTCAAACTGCCCCAGTCCATGCACTTTTGGGAGGGGAAGTGGGGGCGACCTTCAGAACAGACAAGAAGGTAAAGTAAATGAAGACCGAGAGAACCTCTGGACTAATGGAATTTGAGGTCCTCCAGTAGAGGTGCTGTGAGGAGCTCAAACACAACCAAAAATAAGAGGCTTTTTTTAATTTAAAAAAAAAAAAAAAAAAAAGACAGCAGTACTTTCAATCATGATTGTAGAACTGCTCCTGAAAGGGGTGGGAGGGAAAGGCGTAGCATGCTGTCACAATGAATATTTAAAATAAAAAAAAAAACCTAAACAAAATTCCTATTTTCTAAACATCATTGTATTCTTCCTTTTTCCTTTTTTTTATTTTAATCGAATGTGTTGTTCATGGCTGGCCCATGGTGTTGTGTTTTGGGTTTTTTTTGTGGGGGGGGGCGGGGGGGGTGCAGGGGAGACCAGTATGACAAGGTTCTTCACTACAGTGTCCTATTAGTGGGGGTGGGCAGAGCTGAGGGTTGAACTGACCTGTGATCCTTTGTCCACACAGTGTGTGGCTTAGTGTTTTGGTTTTTTTTTGAGGGGCATCCACCCAACTTGACCAAACTGCAGATCTTTCTCTTTGTGCTGCTTTACCAACAATACTGCAGAGTTAATCAGAAAACTCACGGGCACCGGGAGTCACAATCCTACTCCTTAGCGCTGGGCTTCTCAACCCCATGCCCTACCCTCTTAAGGGCTTTCCAGACAGGTACCAAAAACATACTTTTATCTTTCAAAGCTTCAGGCCAAAATTTTCAGTCCATGTTCAAAAATCCGGTATCTTGCATTCTTAGCCCTTCGTTTCCATCTTTGAGGATAACCTTTCCCTGGGTTACGTGCCAAAACCCACATAATTGCAGGTAATTGCACAGTTGCTGGCAATTGGAGTAGCCCGGGTATAGAGTGGATTCCTCAGCATAATGCCACATCTCCAGGGAAGTCTGCTGGGTTTTTTAAATGCTTCTCGTCTCGTTTACACTCCCCCTCAGATAAGTTCTGCTCCCTTCTTGTTTACAGCTGCAGGGAACATGGCCTTGTACCTCTGGATTCCACAGTGGAGGGACTGTCATTGCGACAGGGCATTATTCTCCTCTTGCTTCTTCCCCGCCTCCCAGCAGGCAGGGGAGGAAAAGGTTAGCACATGTTGCCATGTCCTTGCGGCCACCGAATGTGTTTCCATACCACATTTACCTTCTGGTTTTGTTTTTACTTGGGCAGTGATTTTTTAAAGAAACAGCCAAGGTACGTGAAATTTCTGGCTTCACCAACCCGCCTCTGCTGCTCCTTCACCCCTCCGTTTACTGCCCCCACTGAGACAATCTCCCTCATGTCCCCTCAGATGTATATTATCCCTCCCCAGCCACATGGAGGCTGTTCCTCTCCTAGAACCCATCTGCACCATTGCCTAGCAAGACTAGTATGTGGCGGCTGTTGATCGGTCTTGGCCCCATCCAGTCTGTCCAGATGTTGTTAGCTTGGCTACCCATGCATTGAGGCATGATGCTTAGATTGGCTGTAAGGCCAGGACAGACGGGGTCTTGGAGACTACTTAGCTTTCACCATGACAATCCCTCTTGCACCATCACCTCCTACAATCCTCCTTTCCCATTGAGGCCGTTCCTGCCACACCAAAACCTTTAACCTTTGTGGATTCCTGCAGCTGACCGGATTCCTGAACTAAGGCCATGTCTACACTACAGAGCCTATAATGGCATAGCCCATTAGTATAATCTAAACGCCACATATGCCAACAGAAGGAGGCGTTCCACCTGCATAGTAACACCACTTCCCCAAACGACATGAGCTATGCTGACGGAAGCATTCTTCTGTCAGCATAGTTGCATTTACGCTAGGGACTTTGCTGGCATAGCTGTGCCAGCTAAGGGGTTTTAATTTTTGCACGCTCCTCCTAACATAGCTACGCTGGCGTAACTTTGTAGTGTAGCCCTGACCTGGCTTTCAATTCTTCAGGAGGGTGGTTCAGTATCTTTTTATTTTTGGCTGTGAGGCTCGTAATTTTAATTGGACTTAAAGAAATAGTTTTAATTGTGTTGAGAAGACATTTTGTTTTATTGTTTGCTTTTTAGCATTCAGGATTGGGCTGATGATCTTGTCTTATAGTTCCTTTCTCTTTCTCCCCCGCAACTGCCTCTTATCTTGATCCAGTCCGAATAGCTGCAGTTTTGGATTGGTTGAGTGTACTATTCTCTTAAAGTTGTATGTGTTGGAGAGGTTTCTTTAAGTATTTTTAAACTTTGTTGGATGCATCATGTCCATTAGACTAACTTATTGGACACACAAGATAGAACCTTGTCATACACTCCCTTAATTATATATATTAGAGAGAGAGCTGTAAAATATTATTTTAATGATATTGTAATCTGTGCTTTCCCTCTCCTGGACACTAAGTGTGGATATAATATTGCCAATTAACTAAAAGTAAAATATATATATATATGTAGCTAAATTGTCCTTTTTTTTCGTCTGTGTGATATGCCGGAGTCCTGACTAACACCGAGGTTGCGTTGTGGTAATGCAAAGGAGTGCCCACAAATACTGCCTTTTGAGGTCACACAGCAAATAGCTACGGATCATCTGACAAAGGCTCTTTAATCTATTCTGTTTCTTATACACTTAGGCTGGGGTTTTCAACATTGACTTCTACAGGAGCAGAGTTAGGCCACCACTGAGCACTTTTGAAATCCCACCATTACCGCAATCTAAAGAGGATCTTAATTGTTTTGGGGAACGATTACTTGTCCTGACTGATCCTCAGTCCTTGGTATTGCTGCTTGGCTAATGCTGTTTGTTGAATTTCATCATTTTTCAAGTAAAGGGCTCACTTTCTTTTTTCCAGTGTGTGGCACTTGGAATCTGGGAGTTTGTTCTACTCCTGGCTCTGCCACTGATGCACAGTGTGACTTTGGACAAGTCACTGCTCCGTTTTCCCCATCTGTAAAATGGGGATGATACTGACCTAATCTGGGATGTTGAGGCTTACGATGTAAAGTGCTTTGAGATCCTTGGGTGGAAGACTCATTATTAAAGGACCAAGTGTTAATATATTTGGCAACAGCTGCATGTCACTAACATGTTAGCCTCAATGACACCGTTCTCCCATTGTGATGAAGCCGAGAAGGATCTTCCCTTCTTCCATGGTTTATCCTCCTTTCATAGTACCAAACCTTGGGGGTGGGGGACCCCCCCCAATCCTTGTTGATAAGTGTGTGTGTTGCCTACTCAAAGCATCCTAAAATTATAATTCACAGGACTTTGGAACCCCTCTAGTTAAAGACCATAAAAGAAGAGAACATGCAAACCTCAAGTGAGGTTTTCACAAGAAATGGAGTGAAAGCGACAGACCACAAAAATAGGTTTCATTAATATTTCATTCCCTGCCAGCTTTCCTCCGGAGTCCATGTAGTCAGGTTTGGATTTGTCTGTAGCTAAACAATGACAAAAGGTGGTTCAGAAAGGGGAGAAAAAACAACCTATTTAAGATGAGATTCTAGTGCTGAGTGTCCCTGGTATTTAGGATTGATAAGGGCTTCTTTACACAAGCATGTAGGAGTTAAGTTCCTAATTTCCAAATGCAGTGGGAATTGTGTCCCATCTTTTATTGATGTTTCTGAAAATTCCAGCCTTAACTATGGCAAGTGAAATATGTCTGGTCCGTTAATGTTTCATCACACCACACTGCTGCTCTCTCACTTGACTGTGGAAGGTGGATAAGGGGACGCAAGCAGGTATCTAGTTAAAGAAATCTGGGTTCCCTTGGTACATTTTCATTCCCCAGCTGGATGAGAGGGGCTCTTTGAATGTGAGATGTCATAGTTAGCGTTCAGAGTCCTCAGTGTATTGAGGCTCTGTGGGTGAGTAGTTCTCACCTTTCTGAAAGATGCTTCTTGCTGGGGACAGCATTGCATCATCTTCCGCAGGTTTTCATCAGCACCATAAGGGCCAGATGTTTTTCACAAATCTAAACCTAGGGGGCCACCAGATGGGCTTGGGGAAAGCTGCGCCACCTCCCCACTCATCCTATCCTTCGTGTGCCAGAATGACTGAGATGTGCCAGGTGAAGGGGCAGGGCTGTCCCTGGAAGTGAATGCACGTTCCTTTTAAGAATGGTTTTTCCTCCTGTTTAACCAGAGGGTTGCTAAGCATTGCAGTCCTAGCTCCCAAAGCAAGTCAACAGTGCGTTAGGTGTGAGTCACCTGCTCCCTTTCTCAGGGTACAAGTGACAGAGCACATAGGGTTTTGGGGAGGAGTTTGAACCACTCAGGCCTTTGCACCCATGGGATTGTGTGTGTGTTTGGGGGGGAGGGAGGGGTTACTCTTAATCCCTGCTTCTTCAGTTGTATTGATGGGGGCAATCCTACTAGGGCTCCATGCCTGTGCAAGGCTCTGTCTGTGTGGATCCTGCAGGGCCAGGGCTTAGCTTTGCTTTCATACTCCACTGGCTCCGCACGGTGAAAAATGTGTGCACAACAGCCCCATCCTGTGTCTGAGCAGGCCCGACTCCTGGTCCCCACACACACAGGCTCTGCCCTCTCAAACTACTTGCTAGTGGTTAGTTTAATCACTCAGAGGTGCCCCCCTGCTGTGACACAGAAAGGGATTTGAAATCCCCTTAATGTGCCACCCCCCACCCACACTGAAGCAGATGGCAGTAATAGACTGAAGATTCAGCTCTGATATTTTTAATATCAAAAGGATTAGACAATACAACAGCCAAATAAAAATAGAACTCTAAAAACAGCAGTTGGATTTCAGTGTTAATGCTAAGGCAGATGATACAATATTTAGAGGAGCCTGCTTACCTCAGCCTGAGGTTTGGTTTTGCTTACAGGTCAGGTCTGTGAAGGGAAGAATTTAAAGGGTCGTGAGAGGTTCCCTGGCAGGCAGGGGTTTGCAAAGCTTCCCAAGGTGGATGGGTGCCTAGCTCACTGGGAGTTGGGTGCTTTTGGAAATTCTGCCCAGAAGTCCTCTGTCCACAGATTTCCCCCCCACTAACCTCATGACGTAGAGGCCTCCAGATGACTGAATATCATTACTGACTTAAGCTGGATTGCAACCAACAGCCTAGAAGTGAACTCCTTATTGCCAAGCCCCTGAGTGCAGGAGGCCACTAGCTGTGTGTATGACCGTGCCACTATGGAGCATCAGTGTAAACCGTGCCAGTCTAAGGCTACACAAAGCAGAGCATGCCTTCAAACAGGTGCCACATGGGCATTTCACAAATGCAGGACACTGCAGCTGTCTTGGCCTAGATTCTTTACAGCACTGGGATGGGACTGCCTTGCTGGGAAATACTCCTGTTGGCCTCTTCACCAGCTTCTGTGTGGGGAAATCTCCCTTGGTTCCAGACAGTGATTTGGCATTGCTTCTCTCATTGCACTTCTCTGCGTTGAACTGTCCTAGGTTGCTGTCCGCTTATCTTAAAATTAAGTGGTAGCCTTCTGGAGCCTGCACTGAGAGAGACAAAGGCACACGCACCAGTCACTTTCCTCGATTGGGAAATGTAGTCCTAATGTTTCTCTTATTCAGCTTGTGGGGGGGGCGTCTCAGTGCATTTGAGACGATTTAAGACAGCGCTTTGGGACATCACAAAATCCTGTCTTCCTGTGAGAATGAAGGAGCCTCCCCCACCCCCAACTAGACCTGCACAGGCCCTCTTCGTGTGTCTTTATTTTTTCTCCCTCTTCCCTGTTCTTCTATGACTGATGTTCATATGAGTCATTTTCTCCATTCTGTCATGAGCCAGGGCCATCACAACTGTGGACTGGAGTTTCCCCTCATGGGCTTTTTTTTTTTTGGCTGCTCCTCATTTCCCCGCCCTTTCCTTTTCCCAGGGAAGCCGTATACCTTTGGTAACAGCTGCTACGAAACAGGATTCATCTGGCAGGTTCCTGACCATCTGCGGTGCCCCAGAGAGGAAAGAGACAAGGTTAGAACGTGGGCAGGCTGCAGAGTGAGTCAGGCTGCTCATTCTTCAGCGGTGCTCCAGCAGGATTTTAAGAGGCGGGGTGCGAATTGCTGGGGTGGGTACCAGTTGTTTGGTCATCCTGCTGTGTGCAGGCGGGATTGTTTAATACCCAGCTCTCACATAGCACTTTTCAGTGGTAGATCTCAAAGCACTATCTTCATCATTATCCCCATTTTACAGGAAAGTGGGATACGGAGAGGAGAAGTGAGTTGCCCAAGGTCATCCAGCTGACCTGTGGCAGAGCTGTGGTTAGAACCCAGTTTTCCTGGGTCCCAGGCCAATGCTCTATCTGCTAGGCCACACAAGGCAGCACGTGCCCGTATTTGCCAGTGCAAGGGGGACCCCCCCCACCCCAGTCCCCGTGATGTCCTACCCCTTCACCAACGGCGGGTGATCTTTATGGGAAAGTCCAGCACAAAAGCGGGCTCTGCCAAGCGAGGGGAGGGGATGGAATAGGTGAAGGGAAGAGCAGTTTTCCCAACCTGGAAGCCCCTTACCAGGTCACTGATGAGGATGTGAATCCCGGTCGGTCCCTGCTTGGAAACCTGCTGGATCTGGTTGGCTGGGAGGCTGAGCAGCTCTGCCAGTTTATTGGTCAGTTCCGTGGCAGTGAGTTCTTCCAGATAGACCTCTTGGTACGTGGCTTTCAAAGAAAACCCCAAAAAGCCAGTGAGCCAGCGCCAGGATTTCCCTCCCCTTCCCAAGAGCTTTGTCGGGCGACAAAAAGACCTCCAGGGGTCACCTGCAGCTACCGTGGAGACCAGCCCAGCTCCGGCCCTTCCTGCAGTATGAGGAAGTTTGGATTCAGATGTAGCCTCTGTAGCGGCCCCCAATCCCTGAAAGCTCCTGCTGAGCTGACACGGCAGCCCCTGTGAAATAGCCACGGCTTGATTGCAAGCCACGGCTTGATTGCAAGCCAAGGGCTTGATCCAGTGCTTAGGGAGGGCTGTCTGGCTAAAGGTGTTATGCAGTTGCCCAGCACATGGGTATCTGAGCCCCTTCCCCATACAGCTGATAGGGTAGGCCCTACGGCATTTCAGCCAGCATAATCCTATTGTCTTCAATGGACTTTGGCCCCAGCCCTGAGCCAGATGACCAGCCAGGTTCAGCTTTGCATGGATGGGTGCACCAGAAATGCACAGCTGGAGGCCAGTGCAGAATCTCTCCTGAGCCCAAGACTTGCTGTGCCCAGCCCCCTGGTCAAAGGCGAACTGGCCTGGCTCCCTGAACTTGGCCCTCAGGAGCATTGACAGTAAAGAGCAGCTGCTTGTTTTACCTGGGTGTGAGTCCTCAGGGGTGTCTCTGCCATTGGCTTGGGGCTCCCTGGACATGTACAGGGTGAGCCGAGGGCGGACACACCTGTGGGAGAAGAGAGCGTGTTGATTGGCCTATCGACCTGTAGCGCCAAGTGTCTCGAAGCAGAAGGGCCGCAGGAGCCATGCTCGTGTAACGTGTATTACACGTAATGCCCAGGGACCCCAGGAGAGGTTGAGTGCTGCCTGCATGTGTGCACGTGTCCACCCCCTGCCCCCCTCCCCAGACCTCAATGCCAGTTTTACAGTTGGGGAAACTGAGGCACGGGGCTTGTGATTCACTGGAGGCTGCGTAGGGAATCTAGCAGAGCTGGGAACTGAAGCCAGATCTCCCGAGTTCCCAGTACAGGGCTTCCACCGGACACACCACCTTCCTCTGCCTATTGAAATTCAGGGATACCCTACCCCTGCAGATGAAGAGAAGCTTGTAATGAACCATTTAGACTTGTGTTGATCTGCCCCGGCTGTGGGGGTGCTGGAGAGAGAAGTATTTACCTCCTGCTAGGCATTGTGGTTGCATAAGTGGGACATGCACATCAGACCTCAGTGCTTGTGACGAGGTCACCACTGTCCCCCTGCACAGGGACTCCATGGCTGCTGCAATCGTAGGGGTAAGCGCCGCAAGACTAGCCCATTCCACGATCCTGTGTCCTCGGCTCTGCCCGGGCAGGCCTGCGGGGAGCCGGGAAGGGCCAGCCACCCACTGCACCTCCTCCTGGACGCTAAGGCCAAGATTTCCAAAGGTGATTAGTGATTCTGGGGGGGTCCAAGTTCAGATTCCTTCCAAGGGCTGAGCACCTGCCCTCTGAGAATTGGGCTCCCACGATCACCGGTTCCTGGGCTGTCTATATCCACCACATCCCACCCCCTGTGACCACACTGAGAACTTACAAGCTCATGACATGCGCCAGCTAGGTGCAAAGGAGACAGGGAGCCTCCCTCTATGCTACTGTTAGATGAGGTAGAGCAGTGACTTGGTGCAGCAAAGCAATTGCTTAGAGTATAAAGTCGTTCAGGAAGAGACAGTCCTTTCATTCTGTTTGTACAGCCCCTAGCATAGCGGGAGCCTGGGCTGTGACTGGGTCTGCTACGGCTGTGCAAATCGATGGGTTCTGGGTCTGCCTGAGCACTGCAGAAGGGGACCCTGTGTTCCCCCACCCACCAGCCCTGGATGCAGTGTCAAGGTCTCTTTTCCCCCCACCCCACCTGGCTTTCAGCGCATGGGAGAGCCGGATCCCGTCAGCCGCTCCACAGATCTGGATGAGGTCGCTGCGGGAAAGCTTCAGCAGGTCGGCTCCTGGAGAGAGAGAGAGGCAGGCAGGCGTGGCTGGCATGATCATCCAGTGCGGCACTAAATCCCAGTGCAGAGTGGTTCACAGGCAGGGGCCGGACCTGCCATGTTGCAGGTCCCTGCCTGGGGAAGGAAAGCGTCCCCCTGGGTGGGACTGGGCCGAGCAGGACTCCTGTCTGTTTCAAACCATCCCCTGACTCCCCCCAGAGGAGGGTTAGGTGAGCAGGGGATGAAGGCAGCCATCTCCGTGCCAGACCAATGAATCCAGCAGCGTGGACCTGTTGAGAGCAGGCTGCTCCTCCACCTCCTGGATCAGCTGGGTTCTTCGGACAAGGCCAGAGCCCAGCCTGCAGAGCTGGTACTGCTCACGTGGCCTACGTCCCTTTGTAAATGGAGGGCTCACGCTTGCCAGTCCCCAGGGGCACAGACAGACTGCCCCTCCTACCCACCACTAACCTCTCCATCATCCAAGCCACCCAGAGTTCATCCATGCGTCTCAGCACCTCCAAAGCACAGAGGTGTATTTGTCTTGTGAGCATCCCCTTAGGACAGGGACAGAGCCACGCAAGGGTGAGTGCTGCCCCCCAGCTCTGGGGCGGGTTGGCTCCACCAGCCCTTCTCCCTAGTTTCATTGGCTCAGGAAGCCAGACTGCCTCACCTGTGAAATTAGCCAACATCCTGCAGTAAGCGGCGAAGCGATTCTTGTGCAGCCACTGCTGGGTTTCCAAGATGGAGGCACAGGGACTGAGAGCCTGGGACAGACAGATGGAGAGGGGAGCGTTTGGAGTGACAGGTGGGCTTGAGACCCCAATCACGAGTTTTGTACGTACTCAGCAAACCTCAGCCCAGCACTCACCTAGGGCCCCTGGACCTGGTGGAGTGACCGTGAGGACTAGCCTGTGGGGAGACAGCCGCCAGGTGTAGCCCCAGGTGCAGAGTGATGCTGGTAGCCCCCCGGAACCTGAACGCCTTCAGTGTTTGTTCCAGCTGGGCCCAGACACCCAGGCCTTGTCCAGTGTCCCAACCCAGGCATGGGATCTAACCTCTGCATCTCACCCTGCAGGGAACCCACCCTCATGCCAGATCGTTGTGCCCTGCAATCTCTTGCCAGCCCCTCTCTCATCAAGGGATCAGCCAGGAGCAGGGCAGGTTCAGTAACAACCCCAGTGAATCCACGGATGGCTGAAGCTTGGTTACCTCCGTGGCTTATTCCAGTAGCGGGGCTGGGGTGTTCCCTGTGTGGTGCAGGGTTTAGAACAGGAGTGAAGGGCTGTGAGTTCCATTCCCAAGCAGTGGGGGAGCACGATCAGGGTGTGAGAGCGGGAACAGGGAGTCAGGACTCCTGGGTTCTGCACCAGGCTCTGGGAGGGGACGTATGATCAGGGGGTTAGAGCAGGAACAGGGAGTCAGGACTCCTGGGTTCTGCGCCAGGCTCTGGGAGGGGACGTATGATCAGGGGGTTAGAGCAGGAACAGGGAGTCAGGACTCCTGGGTTCTGCGCTGGGCTCTACCCTGCCTTGCGGCGGGGCATCAGCTCAAATCACTTAGTCTCTCTGCCTCAGTTTGCTGACGGGCAAGATGGGTGCCATAACGCCCACCCCGCAGCGTGCGGAGACTCGCTTGATTAGCAAGTGCTTGGAGTTCCTCTGCCTGCCAGGAAAGCAATGATGGTTCCTCTGCTACATGCAATGCCAAGGTCCCCTCCTGCGGCAGCCGGCCATGGCACGGGGTGTGGGTGGCAGAGTGAGGCAAGGGGAGCGCCAGGCAGGCTCTTACCTCGGCCGTGCTCTCTGCTGGGCTGTCGGAGGGGCAGCTGGGCGAGGAACAGCCCCTGCCAGGGAGAAGGGAGACGGTTGACGGTTATCCTGCAGCACAGGGGTGAAGTGGGGGGCTACAAGTGCTGCGGGGGAGAGGGGTTGATCAGAGCAGGGGGTCTCTCCAGCTTACCTTTCTGGGGTCAGCAGTTTGAAGGCGTGAGGAGAGGGGAGCCCGGGGGTGGCCGGGGGGCTGTGGGGGCTGCTGGAGGCTTCTGGCCAGGGGGTGCACTGGAAGCAGAGGGGAGGGGGTTAGGAGGAGGGTAGTTTCCACTTCTCTAGCAGTGCTGTGCTTTGCATACAGCTCTGCCCCCTTAATGCAGCTACCTCTGGGGTGGGACCTAGCCACCCCCTCACCACACGCACCTCCCGCCCTCCCTGTCCGTGTTCTGGGGTTAGACGATTGCGCGCTTCCCGGCCAGGGGACACACCTCTGAGGTTCATTAATAGGATGGAGTCCTGGTTATCTTGCTGCCCCGTTAAGATGGTGGCACCGATCCTGCCCCCTTGACAGGTCCGGGCCTGCCCAGCCCTGGCCTACCTGGGAACGCTGCACTGCTAACCCCACAGCTGGGCTGCCGTGGGGGGGCACAAGGTACAGCTAGAAATGTAATGCCAGCAGGCTGGTGCCTCTCTCAGTTGCCCCTGGTGCTGTGGGGTTGCCCCATACCTGACCCAAACCCACCTCCGCCAGCACCGTGCTCTCATAGGAAGGCTGGTATTTTTCTCGCTCCTGCGGTGATTGTTTCTCAATTTTCTCCCGGTCAGTTTTTTGTTTCCTGTCTGCTCCCTTGGGCTGAAAAAACAAATTCCCCAGTTTCCAGCTGGACCCAGTAAGCGCAGACCCCATCGTGTCTGTCGAGGGACCCTTCCCCCCGGCTGGGCTGGCAGGATAGGGGCCTCTGAAAGTCCCCAGCACCCTCTACCTCTTTGCAGCCCTCGATCTTCACAAAGGATCTTAGTATTGCTATCCCCATTTTGGTGATGGGGAAACAGAGGCACAGAGTGGGGAAGTCACCCAGCAGGTCAGGGTCAAAGCTGGGAATAGAACCCCAACGTGCTGAGTCCCGCTCCGGTGTCTTAACCCCTGGACCGCACTGCCTCCCAGGCGGTAGTGATGGCAAAATATAAATCACTAACTCCTCTGGTCTCTGCTAGCCCTTACAGCGCCCCCTCCCACCCCCACCCCGGATTCCCTGCTGGGCCCCCTGACAGATACCCTGTGTGTTGCTTGCACCAGCCTGCCAAGCTGACGGCGAGACAGAGTTGACCCCGAAGACAAGAGTCTGGGGGAGCGCGGGAGAGCTGAGCCCCGTGCTGCTCCCCGTCTGGTGGAAGCTCAGGCCTGGCAGTGGGAGGCTGCTGCCGGTGGGGGCAGAGCCGGAGCAGCACCCTGCACGCCAGTGATGGAAAGGAGGGAGCAACGTTTAGGGGCTAGAACAGGGGACAGCGGGGCAGGACTCCTGGGTTCTCTTCTTGACTGCGAGGCCGTGAGCGCAGGGGAGGGCTGGGCCATCTAGTGGCTGTAGCAAAGGCTGGCGCGGTGGCCTCCTGGGTTCCATGCCCCCGACTTGATCCCAGGGTGCCAGGCCCCTGCCCTGGAGGACGGTTACCACGACCGTCTCTGTTTTAATGCTGCTTCTTCCCAGCCTCCCCCCGGCCCAGGCAGCTGGGGATGTTAGGGGAAGCCATAGAGGGGGCCCAGTCCGTGCCCGGGACGGGGGCAGGGCGGCGCGGGCACCTTGAACACTTTGACAAGACAGCTGGCCGAGTGCAGGTGATCCGCGTGCTCGCCCTTCTCGTTGGCCTTGTAGGTGTCGAGCTGGATGCGGAAGGGGACACCCTTCTCGCCCCCGTTCTTGCGCAGCGTGAACTCGGTGCTGATGCAGTGAACCTGCCGGGAGGGGGAGGGGTGAGCGTGGCCCCCTGGCTCCCCCCCCCCCCCCAGCCACCCGCGCTCTGCCTCTCCACCCTCCCCATGCTCCGCCCATGCTCTGACCTGCATGAAGACAGACGTCCTCTTGGTGGGGTCCCAGAGGAACTCCACCGTGTTCAGCAGGGTGGGGTGGATGTGCGGCTCCAGCACCCCGACGGACAGGGGGACGTCTGCAAGCAGGGCACAGAGGGATCAGGCAGGACTGGAGCCAGGGAGACGCGTATGCGGGGCAGCAGGTGCCCAGACATCCCAGGGATGGGCACGACGGAGGAGCCCATGTGGAACAGAAGGGGGCTGAAGGATCCGCTGCCCATGAGCCTCTGCCCAGCCACATGGGCATCCTGCCGGTTACGTTCTCGGCGCTCTCACCCCTCCCATGAAACTGGATTGCAAAGCCCTCCTACGCCACAGCGAATTCAATTCCCAGCCCCGGTGGCAGGGAGCTGTTCTCCCTCTAGGGAAAGTGAGGCCGTGAGAATGACCTGCCCAAGGTCCTCAAGCTGGGGCTCTGACCACTAGCCCAGGCTTCCTCCCAGAGGTGAGAACAGGACCCTGGCGGCCGGGCTCCCAGTCCTGTGCTCTAAGCACTTTATGGGCCCAAATCTTCCCAAGTGGCCCAGCTCCCGGTGTCTGCAGGAGCCGCGCCTCCGTAGGCTGGACTGAATTGAGTCGGCTCCCCAGTGCCCCCTGTTCCTTTAGCCTGGTTCCCAGCCCTTGGTTCTCATCCTCTGCTTCCTTCCCCCACCGCCTCCGCGGGGGCTGTTGGAGCTGGCCCAGACCCAGCAAGGGGGAGCCTGGGGTTCCCCCAGACCTCTCAGCTGAGTGCCAGGGCTGGGATGGCATTTCTGGGGTGCCAGGACCAGTAGGTGGTACTGTCACATGTACCGCGATGGAGGTGGGAGGGCACCAGGAATAGGATCTTGCCCAGCCTGGCTTGGCCCAGCGGCCCAGCACAGATTCCTCATGCCCCTCTCCCCTCCCCGAGTCCTCTCCGTGCAGGGCCTACAGTCCGGTTCTGGTTCCTCCTGGCTCTGACCCAGGGACCCCCTCCCCTCCCCGCTTCACCCACAGCCGAGGCTGGGCCGCTCTTGGGGGCTTCCTCGCCCACCGGGATTGGATTCTAGCGACGATCGGGCTGGGCTGCAGATGCCAGGAGCGAGGGGCACCATGCTCCGTGTGCGTGATAGATACTAGGGGTGTGGAGCTGGTACTCACCCAACCCCTCTCATTCCCTATCCCTGGGGCACAGCCGGGCCGCCCCCTGCGGGCAGCCAGACTCACCGATGTCCAGGATGCGGTCGCCAGGGCGGTTCCACCGCCATCCCTCCAGCTGCTGGTGCTCCATGTACTGCAGGCGCCGGTCGTGAAACACCACCCTGGCCACGCTCTGCGGGAGAGAGGGGCGTCAGGCCCTGGGCCCTGCCTCAGCTGGGCTCCGTGGCCAGGAGCAGATGGGGGATGGAGCCACGCCAGCCAGGGCGGGAGAGGTCACGTCATGCAGCAGGGGTAGCCTAGGCTCCAACAGCTCAGCCCCCATTCTCTGCCCCCCGGGGCCCCCTCCCCGGCTCACCTTCAGCAGCTTCCGGCACTCGGAAAAGTCGCCCAGCTTGGGGTTGCACAGCATCCGGATCTCGTAGGACTGGCCTGAAAGAGACGGCAGGGCCCTGCGGGTGAGATCTGGGCGACTGTGGGCAGAGGCTCCGGGGGAGGAGTTCTCTGCGCCCCGCTGTGGGCAGCCGGCCCGCTGCTAGCCCCGGGGCTTACCCCTGCCCCCCGCCCAGGGCACAGCCCACCCGGCTCACCTTGGTTCAGGTAGGTGAGGGTCTCCTCGTGCTGCTTGACGGCGGGCGAGGTGGGGGCGCAGAGCACGTACTGGAAGGCCGGGCACTGCAGCTCGGCCGACGTGGAGATGTTCTGCTCCTCTTGCTTCAGGAAGGGCAGTGCCAGGGACTCCCTGCGGCAGGGCAGAGCACACGGCAGTGGGGGCAGCTTCCCCTGTGAGCTCCCCCTCCCCCCAGCCTGTTGGAAGCGGGGATCTGTAGATGCAGGGCTGGGGGGTGGGAAGGGGAGTATAATTCTCCTGCCACCCTTCCCCCCCCACACACACACACCCTCCCAGCCCCTAGTGCCCTGAGCACAGGCCTGGGAGCCAGAGTCTCATCCCAGCTCCTATCACTGGGACCTGGGCACATCACTCCCCCTCTGCCGAGTCTGTTTCCCCTCTGAAGCATTACCCTGACCCATCTGCTAGTGCTTAGCTCTGAAGGGGGGTGGGCCCCCAGCGATTATTTAGGGTTAGGAGGAAGGGGAGGGAATATTTCTGCCGAGGGGCAAGAAAATCGTCTCTCGGGGGGGGTGGAAGCCCGTTGGCCCTTGGGACATCTAGACCGGCCCTCACAGGAGGAAACACGAGAGGGAAGAATCCTGCCCTGATGCCAGGGAGGTGGCTGGAGCCCAGTGGGGCTGTTCTGGCTCCAGTTCCTGCCTCCCGGGGCTGGTTGCAAGCGCTTGGGAAGGCACCAGTGTTAACCCCAGGGGGCTCTTTGCTAGTGCAGAGGTTTATTGGGGGGGGGTGCTGCCAGCCTGGCCTTTTAGCTCCAGCAGCAGAAGCATGTGCTGTGAGCTCCAGGGGCCCCACCTTCAGGCCCTGCCAAGGGCCTGCCAGTGGGGGGGAGCTCCATACTCCGTGGCCAGCCACGTGTCTGCCGACCAGACCAGCCGTGTCTCCCCATGGGGCGTGTTGGTCACATGTGACGCAGTTTGGACAGCTCTTGGCAATCCAGCACCATCACGAGCCAGCCAGAAAGGTCCTTCATGCTTGGGGTTTTAACAAAAATAAAAATCCTCATTTTTGACAGAGGGTGGGGGGACGGACCAAAACCAAATGCCTTTCTTCGGGCCGGTGCTTGGAGCCTGCGAACTGCTTTGTCAGGCACAGGAAGTGAATCGCCTGTGTCTTTTCCAAACACCCACTGAAGGGCATCTCTCACATACAGAGGGCACTGAAATGGGACAATCCCCTGCTCCTCGCTCGCTTGCATTTCTCCAGTTTGCAGGAGAGCCCCTGCCGCCTCTCCTGGGCATCCATTTCACACGCACACACGTACCCCTTCAGCTAGCGCAGCTGCTGTAATAACAGGCCAGGATCTCCAAGCCCAAGCAAAAATTGATATTCCTGTTTTACAGCAGGGGAAACTGAGGCAGAGAGGTAGTGACAGTGGGGGAGCAATTTGGGGGATGCGAAAAAGCCACTTACCTGAGCAGATTGCCGCCGGAGCAGGGGTACATCTCCCCTGGCCCTGGCCAGTAGTGTTCGGGCTGGCTGTGCCAGAACAGCATGGTGAGGGCGTGAGGCTGGACGGAAAAGTCCCCAGATCTGAGTGAGGGGCGCTGTCAGGTGGCTGTTGTCTGGCGAGGCAGCTCCTGGCACCTGCCTTTATGCTCCCAGGCTCCCCAGGTGGGTGTGTGCCGGGAGAGGTGCTGAAGGATTGGCCAGCTTCCAGATGGCTCTGAGCAGCTGGCCACACCCTGGGGGGGAAGGACGGGAGCTGGGGCCGTTTCACTGCGGCTGCCCTGGTCTGTGTTACAGGAGGTGGGCGGTCATCGCTGGGGCACGAGCGGGCAAAGCGCCACGAGCCGGAGAGGGGTTCCTGCCCCTTCTGCTTAACCGAGAGCTGCGGTAGGAGGCAGCAAGGACCCAGTGGGACGCGGCCCAAACAAGCTCAGAAAACCATAGCCACGTCCAGCCGTCCCCGGGGGCTGGGCCAGAAGGGCTTCACCTTGCAGCGGGCATTGCCTGGGTAACCTCCTCCCCCCATGTGCGTGCTTTGGAGGCGCAGGAGACAGGCGATCGCAGAGCTAAGCCCTGAGCTGGGACGGGGCTCGCTTGCTGGGGGATTTGCCAGCCACAGGCTGCACTGGTGCAGGAGCACCCCAGACATGCCATCGTCCCCCAGGCCTCTTGCCTCCTGGACGCTGCAGCTCACCGCGTGTCGTGTTGTGCACTCCGGCTTCTGCTGCACAGGCCTGGGCAAGCTGGGACAGAGGATGGCCGGTGTCCTGCCTCGTCTCTCCTGTCGCACGCCTGTGTAAAAGGCTTTTCCCAGGGGGCATCTCCGAGCGGGGAGCATATTGCAGAGTGAGGCACGAACATGGCCTAGATCGGCCTGCGGCTGAAACGGAGGGAGACTTGGCTTTCGCGGGGAGGCAAGCGCTGAGGAGCAGCGAAGCCAGGCCAGACGCGGGCAGGGCCCAGAGGCGGAAGGCCCGTCTGTCTGCAGAGCCCGCGGGTTGAGCAGGAACCCCGGCACCGAACCAAAAACTCCTAGCTTTGCTCCGCTCTGGCGCCGGGTGCTCAGAAAGCTGGGCTCTGCGAGAAGGGTCTGGCACGACGGCCGCCAGCCTGGGTTAATACGGCTCCCTGTGCCCCGTACGTCGGGAAGGGAGACTGGAGGTCGTGCTTCCCGGATGGGGGCCTCGATCCCGGGAAGCAGTGGGCTATCCAGGGTGTCAGACTAGATGATGGCAACAGACCTTTCCGCCCATGCACACGTGCTGGTCTAGCCGTGCACACATGTTAGCCCAGCAACGCCCACCTGGTGTGCACGCGGCTGGTGCTGTGACTTCATTGGCTCCAGGTCTCCCCAGTTCCCAGCTCTGCCCTGCCATCACCTGGGTGGCTCAAGGATCACACCTCTTCCCACCCGGAGCGAGTGCTTGGGTGGGCCTGGGTCTCTTCCCAGCTGCCTGGAGCTTTCCGGGGCTTCCAGGAAAGGGTTACACGGCTGAGTCGAGGGGGTGGGGTGGGGTGAGCGAGAGCCCAGGACTGCCCCGGGGAGGGGGGCTGGGAAGAGCTTTCCCCCCCCTCCCCCAAGCAGCGAAGGGTGTGGCGGGGCGGTTGGAGCCGGGTTTACAGCAAACACTTTGCTGGGGTTTGTTGTGAAAACAGGCAGAGCCAAGGGCCCTTTGTTTTGCTGAGCTGGGGAAATTCTTGTCTTCCCTCTTTACTGTAGCGGGGGCTGGGAGGTGTCGCTGGCCCAGGGTTTGGGGCAGCCGTGGGGCTGGGACAGGGGAGCCTGTGGCCTGGGGGGGAAGCAGGGGACAGTGCAGGCGGCGGAGGCAAGGGGTTGGGGGGATCGCTAGGAAAATACAGGGTGGCTGCTGCTCCTTCCTGTGTGGCCTAAACTCTGCATCACTTGCTGAAAGGGCAGGGCTCCGGGGACGGGAGGCACCGGGGGGCTGAGACCGGGGAGCCCCGTGGCCCGAGTTCACCCCTGCCTCTGTGCAGAGCCCCGAGCCAGGACGGAGGCCCTGCATCCCCCAACCCGGGGCTGCTGGAGGCCGTTTCAGCCGCGGGTGCTGCCCCGTCCGCCTGCTGCAATGACCCCCATGAGCTAAGCGCTGGGGTGGGGGCGCACTCTGCCTCCGACGTGGGGGGAGCCCAGAGTCAGGGGAGCCGAATCTGTGCCTGTGGGGACGCCGCCCGGGCCAGGGCTTTTGGGCCGTGTAGCCCATTGGCACCCACTAATGGCAACAGGGCAGTGATGAACCTCCCCTGCCCCCCTCCGCCTTACGCTTGGTCTTCGTCCATTGCATCCCGGTGATCGGGTCCGTCCTGTTGGGCCTGGGCTGGCTTCAGATCAGCTTCCTGCCCGCTCTGGCAGTGCCCCCCCCAACCCCCCCGTCCGTCGACCCCGTCCCCCCGACACGCCCATGGGGTGTTTACGCACAAACACGGGGGCGTGCTGCTGGCTTGCTGGGTGCATGGAGTCCGCTCCCCCCCACCCTGCGCCCGTGTTTACACTGCACACAGCCCGCGCCGTAAAACGCGCTCCTAGAAACCCGGAGAGACGTGTGTGTTTGGTGTCAAAATAGACGGAGCTCACTGGTAGGGGGACGGGGACAGCACTTCAGGGGGTGTCCAGGGGTCAGAGGGACTTTGGGGGACTTCAATCTGTTGGTCTGATCCAGGGGCCCGGGAAGCTGGGGGGTGGGATGCCTGGCTAGTTGGCCCCATACTGATCCACCGCAGAGCGGCTGGGGGGCTGGAGGGGACAGCACCTCCCCTGGTCCCCGGGGCCCCGAGGACGAAAGACTGAGCCCTGCAGTGGGGGCAGGTCATGGTGTGACCTGGGGGGGAGCAGGGCAGCCGGGGCTGCAGCTCACCCCTCCGAGACCCCTGACATGAGCTACACATGGAGGGGGAGAGGAGCTCAGTACAACCCAGGCCTCCCCCCAAATTTCCCGGGGGCAGGGGCCAAGCAGCCCCTCTTGCCTGCTGGAGGGCTCAGACCCCCCCTTCCCCCTAAGCCGAGCTGGAGCAGAGCCGTTCAGGCCCAGCTCCAGGCTCCCCCCAAAGGCTGGGCTGGTCCCCGATCCCAGGCTGTGGCCCATCCCACGCCGGCTGGGCCCAGGAGCAGGGCTTGGGGCAGGTGGATCCCACTGGCAGTGACTGTGGAGGGCCGAGGTGGGGCAGGAGGACTGTGGCCTGTGGGGCACTGAGTAGCGCACTGACCGACGTGGATTTCCATGGGCCAAGCGATGGGTCCCTTGGGGGGTGTCAGGGCCTGGTAGCTCAGAGACACTCTGGGGTCCCAGTTCTCAGCCCGTGGGGGGCTGGTGGGTGGGGGGTGTCTCTGCAACCACAAGGAGCCTCCTCAGCCCACTAAGGATCCGTCTGCTGGGGGGGGCTGCTCCCCCTGTCTGGGGGCATTAACTCCTTGGTGGCCTGGCGCCTTTACCCTAGGCTGACACCAGATGGCTGCAGAATCAGGACAGAGGGTGAAGAACCACCCCCAGGGCTCCTGGCTCCTGGCAGGATTGAACCCTGGAGTCCGGGGGTTGGCGGGGGAGGGGGAACCCTGTCAGATCCCCTTGGCGCTCCCCTGAGGTAGCAACCAGGAGGGGGTCACCAATGCATCTCTCTGCTCCTCATTCCTTGTCGCCAAACCCCCACCCCCTCCACCCAGCCCATTCCTAGGCTCAGCTGCTGCCTCCCTGCCAGCTCCCCCAGCAGCCGGGGGGCCCCCCAGTTCCCAGCTCTGCCTCCCCATCCCCTCCCCCACAGCTCTGGCTCCCCTGCCCCACCTTTGTCTCGCCTTCCAGAGCTCCCCCCCTGCCCCGCTCTCCTTTGCCGGACCCCACCTGGGGTGGGGTGGGGTGGCGTCCCCCTCCCCCAGCCTTGGCTCTGCCCACTCCAAACGTGGGTGGGGGCATCTCCCCTCCCCCACAATCCCACCTCTCTATCCCTGGACCCCCCTTTCCAGGCCAGGGCCCAGCAGGGCAGCAGGGATCACAGGCCCTGGGTGGAAACCGGGCCCGCCCTTGGTGTTTGCTGTACACAAGCCCCGTTTCCAGTAAACACCAGCCCTTGCAATGATCCAGGAGCCGCTGGGGATGGGGAGGCGGGGACACGCCCCAGGTGCCCTGCATCCTTTGGGGGAGATCTGCAAAGCTCAGATCCTGCCCGCCCCACGCCCAGAAAGAGAGGGACTTTGGCTGAGGCCTGCACACTCATCTCCCCCAATGCAGCCGAACTGAAAGTACAGAGCACCCCCACCCGTGAGCGTCCCCCCCAGATCACAGCTGGGTGTAGCTGTGGAAGAGAGCCAGGCAATTTCTTGGGTGTAGAGCGTCCCCTGCAGGAGAGAAGGGGCCCTGACGAGAGTGGGGCCTCTCCGAGGGGCACTCTCCCTGCCAGCTATTGCTCTCCAGGGCCAGGCCCTGCCCCACCCCCCATCGCTGACCCATGCTTCTCGCCCCCCCCGGCCCCTCCCCAAGGCCACTCCAGCAGCCCTCCTAGGAGCAGCCCGAGGCCGGGGGCCTTTCGCGGGGGTCAACCCCGGCCCTCCCCAGGCACCCCGTGCTGCGGGCAGGGGGCTGACGTCTGAGTGACACAGAGTTCAGGGCCAGGGGAGGGGGTTCGAGATTCTAGCCTGAGCCGGCCGGACGCAGGCCAGAGCCGCTCGCCCAGTGAGCAGCACCGAGCCCAGTTTGCCTGACCTCCCCATGGTGTGTGCGTGACAGAGACCGGGGGCGGGGGGGGCGGTCAATTCCAGCTGGCTTGTGGTCTCTCTGCCCCTGGCCGTTAGTCATTCACCCACATTTTGATCCCCGCGGCCGATCTGCTCCGTCCAGCCCCCTCTGGGATTCCAGAGCCTGGGGCTGGGAGCAGAGCCCCACGACTGGGCTTTCCCTCTCTCTTGCTGAGCCCCTGGGGGGGCAGGGGGGGAGCTGCTGTTTTTAATGGGAAAAATAATTAACCTGAAACCGTGGCGGACTTCCCTTTGCTTTTCAGTGCCTCCTGCTGCCTGCGGTTCCCTCGAGGACGTGGGAATAATTAAGCATGGGGGGGTGGGGAGAGGAGGACCAGCTCCAAGGAGCCCCGTCTGACCCTCCCAAGAGATGGGGGGCTTGGTGTCTACATGAGAAACGCTGGGCCTGTGGCCCCCGGAGGACTCCGTGCGTGACCGGGGAGCTGGCAGGGGTAGGGTACTAGGCAGCATGGCCCAGTGGGCAGGGCACTGGGCTCTGTTCCCAGCCCAACCTCTGACCCAGGGCAAGTCTGCTCATCGCTCTCCTGCCTGTTTAGACCACAGCCCCTGGGGGGCAGGGAATCGCCTCAGGTGCCCCCCTCGCTCTCGCCTGGGGCTGGTAGGTGGAACTGGAGCACAAACAAAGCAGCCTGGATGGCGGGGACGGGGTTTCCCTGAGACCGGTGGAGACTCTCTGGGTTTTGCGGCCAACCATTTTACACAAACACACGCAGGGTCCCGATTCCCACCAGCAGGGGGCAGCACCACACACACACACACACACACACACACACACACACACACACACACACACACACACACAGCCAATTCCCTCCAGCAGGGGGCAGCGCTGTTTGCTCGCTGACACCCTCCCCACCCTCCCATACGAAAGCGTCTTGCCACCCCAGGACGCCACAGCCAGGGACAGAGACTTGATCGTCCTGATCTCGGGGACTGGCCGGGGGGGGGGGGGGGGAAACAAACAGGAAAATCCTTGGGCCAAACTTCTTGCAATCCTCCGTCATCCATTACAGGGTGATCAGAAGGGAGGCGCCCTGAGCCGTGCGCCCCCCAAGCTGGAGAATGCGCCATGGGACCCCTCCTGGACTGGCTGCGGCGACTGGGCTAGAAGGGATGATTGGGCCCCTCTGGGATGTTGCTCGTCTTTTTCCCTCTGCCGCCCACCCCCGGGCTCCTTGGCGGGAGCCGTACCCACCCCCACCCCAGGGCGCAGCTGTGGGCTGTCCCCGAGTCCTGGCTCGCCTTGGCTTTGTCCTCAGGCCGGGCTGGACCCAGCTGCGCGGTCAGGAGTGGCCGAGTGGGGCTGACCTCTGAGCTTCATCGGCAGCCGGGAGGCAGAAGCGTGCCTGGCTCTAGGCGCCTCGGCCCCGCCACGGGGCGGGGAGCCCGAGGCCTCCCCTGAAGGGCACGTCCAGGGCTGGGAGTGGGGCTTCGCTGGGGTCAGCACAGCAGAGAGGGGCAGTGGCTGAGGCTGGCCGAGACCCGCGCGGACAAGGGCGCAGGTGGGCGTATTCTGCCAGCCTGTTTGACACCCAGTTCGACGGATGGGGGCCAGGCCCCAAAACACACTGGCGCCCCCTAGTGGCAAGTACCAGAGCGACACCCCTGAGGTCTCTATTTCCCACCACGCTGGGTGAGCTCCCCCACCCATGGGCACCACCCGTGACTCCGGGGGCCCTCCTCAGGCTGGGAGTCAGTCTCCGTGGCCAATCCAGCCTTGGGCTCCTCTGCCGCTGGCATCCCTGAGCCCGGAGCTGCCGTCTGTGGTGGGCTCTGAAGAGGGAAAACCGCTAAGCTGGGGGGGCTTAGGGCAGAGAGATGGGGAGGTGCTTACAGTGCTAGGACTAGCTATGGGCAGAGAGGAACTGGAGAGGGGATTGCTGGGGCACTAGGGACACCTGGTGATGGGTGGGGACCAATTGGGCAGATAGAGGGCAGCTCATTTTGCAGCTCTTAGCCAATCCCGCCTAGGCACTCGTGCTAAGCGGTGCCCCACACATCCCAGCCCTGATCTCAAGAGCTGGGCTTGGCCGCTGCCAACCTGAGCAGAATTCAAACTCCTGACCCGGAGGAGAGCCGTGCTGGCCGCAGGAACGGCCCGCCCCCGACTCCCAGCCCAGGTCACCTTTTCCAAGGGTTTCCAGGGCAGGCAGACCTGGGGGGTGACTGGAACGGCCCACCCCAGCTTGTTCCCCATGGCAGAGCTGGAGGAGGCTGGGAGTGCTGGGGCTGGGTGGTCTGGTTTGTGATTGTAGGGTCTCTCTGGGGTGCTGGGGCTGGGCACCCCAGCTGTTATCCTACAGGAGATGCAGTGAGCCCTGACTCCTCGCCCTTTGTCTCGGGCCTGGGGAGCCGTGGCTGGAAGGAGCTGGAGATACCCACAGCAGGATCCCAGCGTACAGAACCCCCAAACCTCGACTTTTTGTGACGATTCCCTCTGCACCCGTGGAAGGGTTGGGGTGACACCGCCCCCCCTGCCCCCGGCAGTTCCCCTCCCCTCCCTGCTCGGCCGCTGTCTCCGGGAGGCTGCATTGCAGTTTCCAAGCGGTGAGTTATAAATCCGTGCATGACAAACAGTGGCTAAATATAGCTGGAGCTGG